CTTTTTCAGTAGAAGGGGAAAATACTGGTGAAAAAGAAAATGTCTTTGTTGTTCCCTTTCTTTAAAGAAAATACTTCAAAAGCCATCCCCAACACTAGAATAGCTTGCACTTTCTTTCAAAATTACTTTTTCTTTTCTTTTTCAAGCCAATTCTTTTTCCTTTTAACCAGATCACTTCAATAGGCTGCACTATTTTGGATTTTGCTTCCTGTATTTCATTTAAATGGAAGCTGGTTAGTGAAATTTTTGTGAAAAAATTGTTCCTGAGGCAAGAGCCAAAGTCTATTTAAATTCTAATTATAGAAATTCAGTATGTCTGGTGCACACATGGCAAGTGAAATTTGCAAATTTTAAGTATAATTCTCTTTTTGCAAACAACAGTGGTGAAGAGTGCTAGGCTGCAGAGCACCACTAATGATCAGTGCATTTAGAGAAAGGATTTCCTGCATGTCCTCTGAATTGTAAAATGTTCTTTTTATGGCATACAGTTGAACAGAAAAAGTATCAACTAATTTAGATGTTCTCTTCAATTAATCCCCGTTTTGAATGAATGCCTTGAAAGGCCACATATACCTTTAAGAGGTCAGGCTAGCTGTCTTTGCAGGCATGACTGGAGGTCAGCCTTTGGAACTGTTGTTCTAAGACTAAGTTCTTAGTCTTCAAAGAGTAACTCCATGAAATTTTGATGTGGCTGGATAAGCTCAGCTACCGCATGTGACAGGCCTGGCCCCAATGGATGTTGGGCAATTTTGCTGGAAATAATCTTGCTCACGGCATCTCCTGGGTATAGTCTGGCAGGTGAGTATCCTGAAGAGACCAAGCAGCTGTATGGTAAAGATTGCCTGAAGAGAAAGAACACCTGGCTCATAGTCCTTGTTTTTCTGGTGTACAGTTGGCACACAGTTCTAGTTTAGCACAATCCAAAATGTGAAGGTTTCTTTTGGTTTTCCCCTGTTTTTTCAGTCTTCTGAGATAAAAATCAAGCTGTCATTGAGAGGAAACCCTTCTGATTTTGAAACAGTGTAAAAAGACGCCATCAAGGACTGCTGGAGGCTTATCTGATAGATAATGTGTGCAGTGCAGGAGGGCAGCAAGTCAGGGCCAAGTGTACTCCCACTTGGCATATGATATTTTGGTGAACAGGAGAGTGTGTTTGATTACAGGGGAGGAGCTTTATCTGTAGCATTGGTGCATTACTGTGGGAGTCAACATTTCCTTCAGACCTGGCTGGGAGGGGGTGTACCGTACCTGGTGTGCTTTGGGAGAGACACAGGCAAGAGAATGTAGTTAGAAAGTAGTACAGGATGAGAAATGTGAAAGACTGAAGATGAGCTGCTGGCTACTGGATAACTGTCACTTTCAGCATCATGGCCTCTCTAGCCAGGTTTCTGTGGAGACAGTTCCTGGGACATAAACTGTCAGATGTTTGGGAAGCTATATGCTGCAGAGCAGGAAATCATTCAAATTCCTTATCTTCCACAAAACAGGCTCAGGAGAAGTCCTGCCAACACAGCTTGCACCAAGGCCTCAGGGAACAAGCCTTGACCTCTGAGAAACGGGTTTTCTGGGGCTTTTCTTGCAAAAATTGAATTCAACTACTTTCTAAGCATTTGCCCTGAAAAGCTTCTGAAGAGCAAATACTAGGTGGTAGTGGTTAGCAGTCCTGCTAACCATGGCTAAAATCCCATGTCATTCACACAGAAATCAGTGATCAAATATCCGCTGACTTCATTGGAAGCAGCTGAGACATGCAAAGGGAAAAATTCAGTAAAGCCCTAAACTTCTGGAGAATTTAAATCAATCATAAGATTTTTGTTGTTGTTGTTTTGATTTGCTTTATTTTGTTTTGTTTGGATCATCACCAGTTACAAAGACTTATTCTCAAGCAGAGGAGTAATAAAATTGTGGGTTAGAATGTCCAGGGGATATCTTGAAGTAAGCCAGTGCAACAGCAATGGCTATTACCTTATCTGGTATAGGAACCAGTAGATGTAAAAGTCCACTCTGTTTGTCACTGTCACCACCTGTGTTAATGCAGGGACAGGGTCTATGTTGTGGATAGGACTAGAACTAGGAAACAGTAGTTGGATAAATATGACCAGTCAAGAGCTTTTCTTTAAGGCTGCTTCTACTGGTATTAAATTGTTTGGGGATTCACACCGTCTAATGTTAATGACAAAATTGTGCTGTCATTAATATTTCATTTTGAGGAAGGTTGGGGGAGTATAGTAATAATTTGTGAAGACCTTCTACAAATATGAGGAATCTTTTTTTTTGTCTGACTGACCCCCTGTCTGTGAATTTTTGTGCTGTGAGAACATATAATGAGTTTGCCTATGGGAAAATGTACTGGTATTTTTATTTCTAACAGATCTGTTCTGTGCATGGTTCTTTGTTCTGCAGCTTGGTCGTGTCTGTCATTAGCAGATATTGGCACAAGAGAGAATTTCTGCAATATTTTATTGTCATGCAACAGTCTAGATCTGTACACACGAGTAAATTACCTAAACAATTACATAGAGCTGCAAATGTTGGTAAGAGAGCTTATCTGGTAAGAGGCCTTTTGGGAAGTTTGACTCTTCTCTTCAGAAAGGTGCACTCTTTACAGTGGTGCCCAGTGACAGCATGAGGTAATGAGCATAAACTGAAGCCCTGGAAACTCCATCTGAACACAAGAAATCTTTTTTCCTGTGGAGGTATCTGAGCAATTTGCCCTAGCTGACCCTGCTTGAGCAAGGAGACTGGATAAGACACTCTTGAGAGGTTTCTTTCAACTGCTGAGATCAGTATTGCAGCATTTTCTTAGGAACTGGCTACTTGCCTGGCCCAGCCTTATATCAAAAGGAGCAGCAGGAGTCAAGAGTATATATTGTTACATCAAGAGTGTGAACCACTTCCTAGTGCTTTCCCTTTCCTCAGCTTCACAAGTTGTGTGGTGTGTGTCTCTTGGCTTTTGACTATGTGAATGTTTTCAGCCTGTAGCTTCTGAGGCCAGGAAGTTGGGTCTTCCTTCAAAAGGATTCTTGGTAGTACACATCAGTTCTAAGTTTCCTCTTTCGTCCCTCTTACAGATGACAACTTTATCATTTTCTGAAACAGGTTTTTCTGACTGGTTATTTCACACTTTGTGTCTCTTCCTCTCCTTCTTTCTTTCCCTCTACCATTTACTCAGAACTCATTTATCTGCTTCTGAATCAAAGATTCAGAAGCAGCCAGCCACTATCCTACTTGCCATCTTAAAGAAAACTTGTCAGATTTTATTGTTAATTTGGAAGTTGTTTGCAAAGAAAAAACTCTTTATAAGTGTGTGAAAGAAGCACTGTTTTTTAAGAAAGACAGACACATAAATTTCTTTCTGAAAGGAGGCTGAAGGCAGTGTTTTATATTTTATCTTCTCTTTAACCTTCCTCCTTCTTCCCCCAACCCCATTTCTTCCATGTATTTCATAGAGATTGGCCTCTATTACCTGGTAAAAGAATGTGGATGTGTAAGTTTTGATACCTTTCAGACATGGAAAGAATAAAATGTGCTGTTTGGGATTTTAATGTTTTAATGGAAAAACATGGATTGAAGTACTGGAGCCTTGTGAGATGGAGCTTTGTGGGGGATGTAATACTGGATAGAACCCTGACTGTTTTCTCATCTAACTCAGGCTTTGAGGACTCCAAGATGCACCAGTTATACTGCTGAGCTTGTTTCAAAACTCTTAAATTTCAATCCCACAAATTTTTGGATCTTATGAGCTAAAGCAGTTAGTCTTCTTAATGCCTTGTACAGATCCCCTCCCAACTTGGGAGTACTTGGGAAACTGCACTGATTAAGAAAAGTAGAACACAGCTAAGCAGAAAGGATTCAGTACAGAGGGATGTGCATACACATCATTATTATTTCCTGCACCGAATAAATTCTATATTCTTTAAGAAATGTTGAGATGTAGGTCATACGGAAAGGGAAAAAAAGGCCTGGACCTTTGAGATGGACTTGTTTAAAGAAAATGTGATGGCCTACATCTGGCTTGGAGGCCTTACAGTTATAAATAATCTCAATTTTGTAACTGACATGTGATTGATTACATAATTACCTTGCTTATGTAACTCAACCATTGAGGCCTGTTGGAGAGCAGGCCCAGGCCGTTGGGGATTCAGGCTGCTATTGGCTGGCTGGCCGGGCTCAGCCAATGAGGATTAACCGTACATGCCTTTCTATCTATGTAAGGAGTAGAGGTCTCAATAAAGTGGGCTGTTGTGCATGACCTTTGTGTGTGCTTGTCGCTGTCCTGTCTCTGGCACATCACTGCAACATCAGGTGACTCCCCAAGTGATTTCAACAAGCCATCCCGTGTAGAGCAGAAGAGGCAGGAAGGCAGTGGGAACAGCTGCCTGCAGCATGCAGAGTAATATCTGTGGTGTGTAGAGCCTCAGAATCTCAGCAAAGCCAGCATATAGATCTGCAGAAGACGGCTTGGAGAGCCATTTCTGGGTTTGGACCCCCTCCTTCTTTGAGGAGTTAAGAATAAGCCGCTGGGATGGGACCATGGACACCAGAGGAGCCTACCCTCCAGGTATAGACACTTTTGCTAAAGAAATGCGGTCTAAAGTATGACAACCAGGCTCTAATGGCCCTGCTAACTTGGTGCAAAAGACACAAACTGGATGTGACTGAAGGGGTCACTTTAGATTTTAGCACATGGGACCGGGCTGGCAGGCTCATACTTCAAGTAGAGTCCATTGGAGATGAGGCTGCCATCAGCATTATTAAGACATGGAGACTCATAATGGACCTGCTAAGGCACCTACAGAATGAACAGAACATGAGAGCAGCAGAGGGGGCCCTGTGGATGCCTTTCGAGATGGATGAGGAAAACCAGGCATTGGGAGAGCCGGCAGGAGGTGTGGCTGCTGCTCCTGGAGGAGCAAAACAGCCACGGGGGACCAAGCCGCTGTGGTGTGCCAGATGCCTCGCCCATGGAGCACCCTACGGCTGTGCCGGACTGAGCCGCCATGGTGTGCCGGGACACCTTGCCTGTAGAGCACCCTGTGGCCCCTAGAGGCTGCCTTGTTATCCCGTGCCAGGAGGTACAGACAGCAGGACCCACCCCAGCCAAGCCCAGCTGCCCTGGAGTAGATCCTGACCGTGGAAAAGCTGTGCCTAGCACCAGAGCCAGTTTGTGGGCAGATCCTGGAAATAACTCACCGCAGGTGCCCGGATACCCGGTGAACATCATGCCTGGAAGCAGCAGCAGACCACAGGGTCCAGAAGTTGCTGCCACAGTCACTCACGCACTGCTGCTACCGGAGCTGGAGTCACCCGTGGAACACTCACCTGTTAGAGGCACTGTAAGCCAGAGCCACCGTAATTCTGTGGACCCCCAAGACAAAGCCGTCATGTAAAGTGCCAACAGCCCTGCCCAACCCACTCAGCATTTGGCACCAAGTAAAGCTAGCAGCGATAACAAGTGGGAATTATGAAGCTGTAGAAGTGATTGATGTGCCATTATCAGGAAGTTGGGAACCTGAGTATGGCACAATTGAAGCATACCCAATAATAAGGGGTAGTGGAAAAACACCGGCTAATTACAGACCCTTTCAGTGGCCAGTTCTTTCAGAACTGTGTCACCTTGTAGCCGAGTATGGCCTAGGCTCACCTGCTGTCACCTGCGGTTTTTAACAACAGAGGCGGTTACTCCCTTTGATATTAAACAGCTTGCCAAATAATGTTTACAACAGTCCAATATATGGTCTTTGAGTCAGCAGTGCAGAAAAACAGGAACAAAGAACCTAAAGGTCCCCTGAGAAGACCCACGTTATGAGGTAGGGGTCTCTCAGCTTTTAGGAGTACCACCATTAGCTTGCCCTTGGCTCCAAGCCAGGCTAGATCTACTAGTGCTGGCCACAAGTAAAGGATCTGGGGATGCAAGCACTGTTTAAGGAAACAAACGTGGCAAATCTGACTCAGACCTACTCAAAGATCAGACAGGGAATTAACGAGCCATATCTACAATTCATAGAAAGACTGCAAGATGCAATGGAGAAACAAATTATAACAAAATATATAATATAATATATAATATAATATATATATTATATTATATAAAAATATATAATATAATATACAATAATTATAATATATATAATTATAACAAAATTATAACAAATTATAGCAAATTATAACAAATTATATTAACAAACGTCAAGGCCAGAAACCAATTGATTTTACAATTGGCCAAGGACAATGGTAATGTGGACTGTTGCCAGATGAGAAGCCATCCTTGGATGAGATAATAAATGCATGCACCAAGATTGGATCCAGTGCCCACAACATGTCCTTGTTAGCAGACTCCATAATGGCACCTGTGAAAGTGACACCCCCGTGCTACAGATGTGGACAACCAGGCCACCTAAAAAGCCAGCTGTCCCCATAAGTCTACATTACCAGGGACAATTAATGGACAAAGGAATACAGCTAGTAGCCAGTGAGGAAAAACCATTTCAGTGATCAGATAATGGAGATCCCAAATTCATTCTGACAGACCTTCCTTTAAGAACCAGGGAAATGGAAGACTCAGCACAGAAGGGAGACGTACAATGGTACAAGCATCTTCCGGCCTTCCTGTCAGAGCCTATGTAACCACCTCAGAGGAAGGACCAGAAGAACAACTGGAATGGATGTTTCCACATCCATCTTAACAACCATAAGCACTTTAAAGGTACACAGGGTCCCTCTTGAGGCTTGCAGGCCCATTGGGCGAGGACTGAGTGCACTACTGATCAGAAGATCCAGTGCTACTCTACAAGGTATTTTTGCGCACCTTGGCATTATTAATGCCAATCAATAATTATTAATGACAATATTATTAAAACACAAATCACCCAACTCATCAATTTTAAGTCTCTTGTCCCCAAAACAGAGTCTATAGAGTCAGAAGGCCAAGGCTTTGGATCCACTGGAGAACCCCAGGTGTACTGGACTCAGGTCGTAAATGATCTAAGACTTAATATGGTGTTCACTGCTACAATGCCTCAGGCAATGCCCTTGCAAATAAAGGTCATCTGGATGGTTGACACAGGGACAGTTGTTACCATCATCTCTGCCCACACCTGGCCATTATCATGGCCCACCACAGCTATAGGAGTGGCCATTGCTGGCCTTGAGGGAACCACACAGAGCTGCTGGAGCAGCAAATCTTTGTTGGTCAAAAATCCCAAAGGTTAAACAGCTACCACCCACCACTATACATTACTGCAGCACCACTCAACCTGTGGGGGAGGGATGTTCTTTCTGCACGGGGAGTCCAGGTAGGAACGGATTTTTAACAGGGGCCACTGTTTTAAAGAGCATGAAATAATCCCACACAAGCCCTAAAATGGCTCACCACTCAGCCTGTGTGGTCCCTAGAAAAGGAGAAACTACATGCCCTCAAAACTTTAGTGCAGGAGCAACTGGTTCAAAGGGCATATAGAACCATCTACAAGGCCTTGGAATACCCCAGTATTTGTCATCAAAAATAAATCCAGGAAATGGAGGTTACTCCGTGACCTAAGAAAAATCAATGCGGTCATGGAAAAGCATGGGAGGCCTACAACCAGGCATGCCATCCCCTACAATGATTCCTGTCAATTGGGACATCCTGACTGTGGATCTAAAGGATTGTTTCTTTGTTGTTATTTATTCTTTTCCATCCAACATCCATTAATAGCTCTGCACCAGTGGAGTGTTATCAATGGAAAGTTCTGCCACAAGGAATGAAAAACAGCCCCATGATTTGTCAGTGGTACGTGGCTCAGGCATTATCATCAATCAGAGAACTATTTCCAGGGGTGCACAGCTACCATCATATGGATGATATTTTAATAGCAACCCCAATCAAAAAAGATCTTTCATTAATCCAACCAAGCCTGATGCAAGCATTAAAAACATTTGGGCTGCAAGTGGCACCATAAAAAGTGCAACAACAACCACCCTGGAAACACTTTGGACTCAAAATCATAGGTCGGACCATACAGCCACAAACAGTTTGACTCTCAATAGAAATTCAAACTCTAAACAATGCACAAAAACTTTTGGGTACCATAAATTGGATCAGACTATATCTAGGATTGACTACATCAAAATTGGCACCCTTATTTAACATTCTAAAAGATGATCCTGGTCTGAATTCTCCCAGAAAATTAACACCCGAAGCAAAACCTGCTCTTGGAATAGTCGAGTAGGCTGTCGCAAAAAGACAAGTTCACTGGATATGTATTACTGTGTTTATTTCCATTGTTTATTTCCATCCTACAGCTATCATAGGGCAATGGGATACACAGTGGTCTGACCTTTTGCATGTCTCAGAGTGGGTATTTCTACCCCATCAGCCTAAAAAGATTGCACCTACCATCTTTGGGTTGATCATTCAACTAATCATTAAATGCCTTCAAAGAAGTTTACAATTGGCTGCAAAAGATGCTTCCAAAATTATTATACCTGTGACTCAGGAACAATTTGAATTGTGCTATGCCAACAGCACATCTTTACAAAGTGCTTTACAAAATTTCTCAGGACAGATTAGCTACCACCTACCAAGTCACATATTGTTGCAATTAGGTGGGACTACTGAAATATCCTTAAAACCATTGAATAGTAGTATACTCCTAAAGGGGATCACTGTACTTACTGACGGGTCTGGGAAAACAGGAAGAGCCACTGTGATATGGAAAGAAGAAAATGAATGGCAGAAACTGGAAGGTTTTGAAAATGAGTCACCACAAGTTGTGCTATAAGCTATGCACAGTAGCTATGGCCTTTCAGTGTTTTCTGAAGGCTTCTTAAATATTATCACTGACTCCACCTATGTCACAGATATAACACAAAGACTGGACCAAGCCCTGCTCAAGATGATTGATGGAGCACGATTATTCAGTATACTGAAAGGTCTGTGGCATACCAACCAGGCCAGAGATTGTCCCTACTATATTTTATATGTTAGAAGTCTCACAAATCTCCCAGGCTTCTTTGCAGAGGGCAATGCCCAAACAGATCGTCTAGTGAGCCCTGCTTGGGCAACGCCACAACTGGACACACGTGCACAAGGAAAGGCTTTGCATGCTTTTTTCCATCAAGGTGTGCGAGCCCTGCAGAGAGATAATTTATGTTATCAAACTTGGAGGCTTACAACACAGTCAACTCCTCCTCTGTTTGCCAAGGTCACATAGTACCACCACAGTTGGGAGTTAATCCCCATGGCCTACGAGTGTTACAGATTTGGCAAACAGATGTGACTCACATTCCAGAATTTGGAACACTAAAGTATGTGCATGTGTCAATTGACACATTTTCTTCTGCTATGTGGGCTACTGTACATACTGGAGAAAGGAGCTGGGATACCACTGTGCATTGGCAATCCGCCTTTGCTGCTTTGGGTATCCCACATACCATAAAAACAGATAATGGCCCAGCTTACACTGCACGCAACAGTAGAAAATTCCTTCAGCTATGGGGCATAAAACACCACACAGATGTCCCCCCTTCAGCAACAGGGCAAGACATTGTCTACTGTGCCCATGGCACTCTAAAATGTATTTTAGAAAATAAAAAGGGGGAATGTGTGGTAAGACCCCAAAAAGTAGAGTAGCCAAAGCCATCTATACCTTGAAGCATTTAACTGTCCTAGAGAAATCCCAGAACCCAACAATCATGAATCATTTTCTATCCTTGCAGTCATCTGGTGATGCTCAATTACCTAGACCTAAAGTCATGGTAAAAAACATTATCACCAATAAGTGGGATGGGGTCCTCCATGGGAACTCATTACATGGGGACGTGGGTATACATGCATTTCTACAGACACCAGAACACTTTGGATACCCGCCAGGTGTGTCCGTCCTGCCCCACATCATGCTCAGGACCAGAGACAATATCCTCATGATGATCCTGCAGCAGATGTTGAGGAGCAATGACTTAAACAACTTGTACACCAGCCATACAGAGAACTGGAATTTCTTGAGATGACAAGTCTGTTTAAGGATTTTATCTATTTATGGACATGAGGGTTTTATACATATTTGAATGTGTGGACTTGACTTGAAAATTTTGAGACAGATTGTTTTCCTTGTAGTTTTTCCTACAGTTCTGAGAGTTGAAATGTTTCTTGTTTTAGAGTTAAGTGTAAATTTGTAGCCTTTAATCTATAAGCCTGCAGCATGCCAATTTGATAACTTGTATTGTTAGCAGTTCTGCCTGACAGGTCCTGAGAGTGAATGGTACGACTTTAAAGGTATATGGTGTACATCAGCAACTGAAAAGGGGCTGGGTCTGTAGAATTGAGTTGAAGGCCTCCTTCAAGCTTTTCAAGGCATAGCTTGAGGTTTTTACACAATGCCATGTCTGTCATCTTGTCTGCAAGGGCCCTGTAGAGGATGACAGACATTTCTTGTGTATTTAAAAACACAAAGGAGGAACTGTGGTGGCCTACAGCTGACCTGGAGGCCTTACAGTTATAAATAATCCCAACTTTGTAACTGGCATGTGATTGATTACATAATTACCTTGCTTATGTAACTCAACCAGTGATGCCTGTAGGAGAGCAGGCCCAGGCCGTTGGGGATTCAGGCTGCTGTTGGCTGGCTGGCCAGGTGGCGACTGGCTCAACAAATGAGGATTAACCGTACATGCCTTCTGATCTTATGTAAGGGGAAGAGGTCTCAATAAAGTGGGCTGTTGTGCATGACCTTCATGTGTGTTTTTCCTGCCTCCAGCACATCACTGGGACACTAACTGGCTATTGAAAGGGAGTCACATATTTCTGTAATGCACTATTTGTCATAGATATGGGTCTGTCAGATTCCTGCTAATTGTGGCTAGGAAAGGAAAGTAAGGAAATTTAGCAGAACCTAATTTGAGAGACATCATCTATTATCACATGAGGTGGTACATGGTGTGTGCATAGCAATTGCTGATATTGTTGGTATCTCTTACCACTCTGTCAGCCTTTCACATTTTTATACAGTGATATCCCTCTGTATGATGCTTTGTTTAATTTTTTTGCACTTCTTAGTTGTTCAGTTGGGTGCAAGGGATTAATAAAGACTCATGATCTGTACTGTGTGACCTGACACTGAATTGACACGTGTCTGCACTGCAGTCCTTTTCTAGATGAGGACAAAACTGTTTTGTTAGTGTCATGAATGGAGATGTTTCTTTAGTTTACATGTTGAAAATCCAGTGGAATAAAGAGAGATAAAGATCTAAATCTCAGTCATGACTTTGTTTTTAGTTCAAATTATGAAGATTTTGAGTTGTGCAGAATTGTGTTGGTATGTACCCTGGCAGGAAATTCAGGTAGCAAGGTAGCATTCTGAATGTGGCTCAACAGGAGGCACATAGAGGCATATTTCACATCTCTAAGCTAAATAAGGTCGCAATAACTGAGGTACTATTAGATAGACCTACACTTTTAATTTTGTTATGTATATTCCAGGGTAGTTTTTCCAGTGTGAGTAAGCTTTCATGCACAGACAGCATTGGCAAGATCCACACAGTCTTCATACACCTTTGGTCATCCTTAGGATGAGTCAAGTGGTTCAATCTCTTACTATATGCTAGGAATGTTGTTACTAGTTATTCGTAGTTTGTAATGGGAGATGAGACTCCTGGAAAGAAATCTTCATGTTACCAGTGACACTTACACCTATGCAGAAATAAATATATTCATTAGAAGGAAATCTAATTTCCTTTGAGCAGTCAAGGAACAAAAAATAATTGGTTCCTGAGTCAGTGTAGGTCTTCTTTTAGAATGTTGATTGAGATTAGTCTACTGAAGAGTTTCAGGTGGATTACATGGGAGGCAAGTAGGGGATGCTTTGGTGTTCCTTTGGGTGTTTTGAGATTTTGCTTGACTTTACAGGATATGATAGGATTAGGACAGGATAGAAAAGGATATTTCATTTGGAGGTACCAACAACATTCACCTAGTAAAAGTGCCTGACCACTTCAGGACTGATCAAATTAAAGCAGATTGTTAAGGACATTGTCCAAATGCCTCTTAAATAATCAAGAGTCTTGGGGCATCAGCCACCTCTCTAGGGTGCCTTTTCCAATGTCTGACCAACCTCTTGGTACTGACCAACCTCTTGGTAAAACAATGCTTCCTAATGTCCAGGCTGAACCTATTTTTATTTTGGTTTATCACATCAAAATGATGCCATCTTTATTTTCTTTTCAAGTTCCTTTTTTTTTTCTCCATAGCAGATGTTAAACCCTTTTGTTGGTGAATTCCACCATCACCATAACAGTAGAGAGACCAAATAATTTATATGATCTGTCAGTATAAAGACACAAAATGTAAACCTGCTATCTATAAATGAGCTATCTTTCTACTTGGAAACATGTTTAAGGGACTGAGGTTTGCTGCTTAGATGCCAAAGATAACTGTATCACCATCAAACTTTAGTATTCTGTGTTGGATAATCTGAGCTGAAAAGGATTCTTTTTATCTGACATACCATGGTGACAGTGCTAACTTTACACTTTCAGAAATGTTTGTAATAAATGCCACACGTCCATGTGCATTGTACAATAATATGGGGGAGATAATAAAGAGCAGAGCAATGTAGAATCCCAAGTGGTTCTTGACTGGCTTTCATCTTGTAAAGTCATCTTGTGTAACCTTGCCTAACTTTCTGTTTCAGGAACAAGAAGATCCTAATAAGCTTGCTACCAGCTGGCCAGACTACTACATTGACCGCATTAATTCCATGGCAGCAGTAAGTTACCTCTCCTGCTAAACAGGGAAGATTTCCTACCATACGGATGTATTTCTTTAAGAAGAATTCCTCAAAGGAGAAGAATGTTAGCCCATAACTGATTAAAATAGGGCTTACATAAGAAAGAGCTCGAGTAGATTAGAAAGCATAAGCATTTCCATTTTCTATTTCTACAATACTGAGCACTGAAGGCAACCAAATTAGAGTCTGAAATGAAAATTGAAGAGAATGTTTGATGAATCAGAAAAGCAACTATTTAAAAACTAGGTGAAGTTTTATTTTGTGGTACGGTTTCAAGTTGATTTGTAATCAGTCTACAAAATAACACTTGGGTTCTTAGTTTAGTAGAAGAACTAAAGAAAAGGTAGCTGCTTATATAAGATAAATCCAGTAATATAAGAGCACATAAATAAAAGTGCATATGTCTGTAACACCTTAGACATAAGATACAAGCCAAAAAAGTATTTGAGAAAAACCTTTTTAAATTGTCCGTGTTCAATAGCTATATAGTGAGTCTCTTCCCCTGGAACATCCAGTAGAGCTGGTCACCAGCAAAATCAGAATATCTGCATATAATGTTCACTGATCTCCTTGATATGGTAGATTTTACATTTTGAAATTTGATCCTTTTACAGAATTTTAGTCAAATTTTTCCTCCAATTACTCATGTGCAGTGTCTACTCAGCTTTAGATGATGGTTGTGCAAAAATGATGATAGAGTTCTTTTCCTAGCATCTTAGGTAGTACACATTGCTTTTTTACTTACGCTTTTGTTTTAGATTTCTGAAGGCTTCTCTGCACCTTCTGTATTGAGGTTATGAGCTATAAAATAATTTCATAAAACTAATGTCTTAATGGATGCTAAATGTGGCAGTAATGCTGTATTTCTTATTTCTCATGGTGAAATATGTCTTGCTGAATAAAACAACCTAAGATTTACAAGGTGTAATAACTCATTTAAGAGGATAAAATAAAAGCTGCTTTCTACTGAGAGTCCCGAATAAACAAAAATATAATGTTCCTTCATGCCATATTTTCATGGGGCAGAGTAAGGGAATAGAAGAATATGGACTTATTTTTAGAAAAGACATTGAGCTTTAGTGACTGGCACTGACTCTGCTTTGATTTCCTGACTGAACAATTTTATTCTACAAGGGCCATTAAGGAAAAAAAATTATTCTGAAACCTTGCGGTGTTACTGAGCCAGATACTTCTGGTAGGATTTGATCCAAGGCGTATTGATTTCAGGGACTTTTGGGTTAGTCTTTAAATGACCTTGATGTAAACTTAGAGTGAATATGTGTACCCCACTGTTGTAAATCTGGAACAGTTCCATGGAATGAGTCTATATTTTGGCCTATGTTTCTAATTTTAAACATGTTTTAAGAGCACCAATAAACACCAGCCCTGGTAATGTTGTTTGCATGCCTGAATGCCAATGTCTGAATGGTTGATAAACTTTTATTTGGCTTCAAGACTCATGATTCACTCTTATGCTTGAGGTGTTGAGAAGACACACTGGGGTTAAAACCCCTGCTTCTGATTTACCATGTGATTGCTTCATTTTTCAGCAGGTGAAACCGAGTTGACTTGATTTTGCAGAAATTTTATCAATAGAAAACTGGAGTAATCCAGCTAAGAAACAGCTCCAACACACTTTAAAAGATGTGTTCTGTTCATTATTATTTAGACCTCTGATATTTATAATTTTCAAACAGTTATTTTTGGGTCCCATATAATTTCAGTTCTAAATTTAGTGGTGCATTTTTTTTAAAACTGCATCCAAGTGGAGTTTAAAAAGATGTTTCATGTTGCTTTCTGACAATATCGAATGTATTTCAGTTTGTGTCTCTTGGGAACTATCAGGTATTGCCATATTTTAATGTGAAATATTGCAAGAAATATTGGAGTTGAAGTAGTAATAATAATCACAGAAGTGTTCGTTTAAAATGCCTTAAATCCTACTTTCAGTGAAATATTGTCTTTGCATCTTCCATGGATTCATCACATAAGAATCTTTCATATTTGTCTTTCACATCCTTATTTATGTCCTTTTGTTTAATTATGAAGTTCTTTTCTCATATATATTAGCTTGGTAAATATGTCCTATTCGCTGATTGAGTGGAAATGGCACCTTTTTCGTGTTAATAGCATCTTTCTATGGATTTCAGCAGGCCAGGGCTTCTGTGCTTAATGATCACTTTCTCAGAAGCCCCATTGAAGTGCTACCCACTGTATCTGCCCTTCACAAATTATGTTTGGCAGCAATGTGGTGATTCCTAACAGTATTTGACATTCCGGTTGTAACCTTAGACCACTATGTTAGGAAGCACTTCAGGTCACAGATTCCTGATCCAATTCAAAAAAACATGCATTTTATGCATGGTTCTCTTCCCACAATTGTTTCTGTTGCTATGACTTCTCAGATTTTTACATATTTTAAATCAAATTCTCACAAGAGCAAATGTCTAAAAATGTATCTCTTTACTAGTGCACAATTCACAGCAAGTGGAAGCACTGTCCCAGACTCCAGGTAGCCTGACTCGAAAGAAGTAGAACATTGACACACTGTCTTCGGGACCACTCATTTAAGACAAAGGGGCAGCTGCTAATCATGTTCAATTTTGAAAGTGAAACCTCCTAATTTGTCTAGTCCCCTGGTCTCTGCATCCTATAAATGATACTGGGGATGGGGAATGCCCGCAATAGAAGACTGTTTCCATTATCAATGTCATTGTCATTTGCTGATTCATCAAAACACAGAAGTTTCTTTTCTTAAAAATGGAGCAGCTGCTGCTCTATCTATACAGCATGCCCTGTTAATAGCACACGTAAAGCAATGTCCCTGTGCTCCCTCGGCCCTCCTTGCCCCATGACACTGCTTGGCAGCACAAATAAACACAGCTCTCACTTTCCTGTGGAGGAAAAGTTCTGACAGCACTGTGTTGCTTTTATGATCTTGGCTGTGAATGCATTTTCACAGAGAGACTTTCAGGTGAGCAGTAGTTGAAAATCCAGCTTTTCTGGAGAGGTGGCGCAGTAGAGAGTGTGAGACGGGTCAAGATTAGTAAGTACAGCTGTAACCAGGCCCTTTTCCTTGGCTCAGAAAACATTTGTTTAAGGCAGAGGAGCTTCACAGGAGATTAAAAAATATATATATCTTTCAGCAGAATTTAGCAGGTGGATGATAACTCTTTCCACCAAAGTTAGATTACATCTATACTACTTTAAACTTACTTGCATAAAAGTTCAGGGTTTTTTTTTAATTACATCTGTTCATAGTTTGTGATTTATAGTTTCTTCAAATAAATTTGTTCTAATAATAATTTATTCTATTAGTTCAGCCTTAATGTAGTTAGAGATGTGATGCACCTTGAATTTCAACTGACTATAATGGGAAGTCAGAATGGGAAGTCAGAACATCCAGGTTGCTTTTTTGCTCTTCATTCTTTTTGCTTTTTACCTTTTTCATTTCACACATGTGAGGCTATTAAGTAAAATTAGATTTGTTATACTGTGTATTGTTGATGCTGGTTTATGCCCTTTCTCTTTCTCTTTCCCTCTTTTCCCCACGTGCTATCATTATGGTCTTTGTATTTTCCTTCCCAGCAGTTTAGGGGAATGATTAGCCTTTAGGATAAGTTGTGGAAATAAATGTGTGCTTTTAAAAAATAGGAAGTATTTCATTTTAACTGGAGCCAAAATTTCAAAATAATTTCTTATACTACCTGAAGTTTTACATATAAAAATCCACATGAATGATTGCTTTCACAAAATCTTGAATTTTTTTTGATTTTGGCAAATCAAGTAAATAGATGCTATACTTTCCAAAGTGATATACTTGATCTGGAAAACTTCAAATATACAAAATGTGCTTATAAAAAGAGCCCTATATATACACTACCTTTGAGGCACTAGAAAAGAACCTGGCAATATTTTGCTTCTGCTTCCTGGTATTTTGGTTAACTGATGGTAACTATCTGCCTCCTGAGCCCAGTAGACATTAGTCCTCAAGTGCAATTTGTACTTCAGGAAAGCAATTCATCAGTCAGCAACATGAATGAAATCCAACCTCAAATAATGACAGTTCTCTCCCCTTTGTCTCCCACAGACAGTTATGTTTTTTATAACTCTTGCCAAGAAATCCATTTCACAATGCAAACCCAGTCTGTCTTTAGCGAGGGCATGAGGATTTGAATTCCTGGCCATTCACAAGAGCGAGAAGTGAAGGGCTCTTGGCTGCCTGCATGCAGCTTTAAAAAAGGGGTTTTCCATAATCACTCTCCGTTGTAAAGGCAGAAGCAATTATTTGTATTTGTTTCATTTGGAAGTGAGCCTTTTTCACTTTGAACAAAGCACTGTTGAGCACCTTCCTACCATCCATTTGCTTTCCCCCCACAGTGGCTCAGAGGAGAAATTAAGCCATTGGAGGAATGAGAACGTTTACAGGCCAAAGGAAAGATGACTAGTTGGGCTGTCACCCAAGAAAATATGAATCAAACCCCAAATCACACCCAAGGACTTTGTCATCCATAATGCCTGTTCAGGGTTTCTGTTTATTTTTTGAAGAGGGGGATCATATATGGCTTAGCTTAAGAATTTCAATTTATGTTTCTGGCTGTCAGGGGATGCTGGCAAAAGATAAAACATCAACAGCTCATTTTCCATCAGTAGTGCTCTGTCATTCCATTAGGGCAGAAAATAGCTTGCTCTGTTACTGAGTGAATTTGACTTTAGCGTGGATCAGAGAGAGGACCCCTAGAGTTAAATACATCTCCCCATGCCAGCTGTTCAGCAAAAGAGAGCAACAGCATGCAGCCAAATGACCATCATCAGGATTTGACATGTGTTGGCATCACATGACTTGCAAAAGCAAGCAGCAGGAACCCTTTCAAGGGAAGTGAGGTGTTGGGCTGGTAGCAAAGATGCGGAAGGTTAAAGGAGGTTCCAGTGAGAGAAAGGTTTTCTTTGATGCTTACTAAACAGTAAAATAAAGACTGAAATATTTTGCTGTAATGAGCCATAATGGTAGCTACTCAGATTCCACCACAGGGAGGTACAATATCAGATCCCTGATAGATGACACTAGTTTAATTGGGTTATTCATTGGAGAAGAGGTTCAGAGCTGTTTTCCAGATACCACTGAGTAATATCCACAAGAAATCCTGCCAAAAAGAGAGTCATTTATCCTCTCATTTTACAGTTTAAGCAACTAGGAAGACATAGGTATAGGCTAAGAATTTCCAGCATTCAGTCTTGACTTTTACAAAAGACACACATGGGACTTGTGAGCCAGAATGATATATGCAAAGGGCACAGAAGAGTCTTGGTTCACATGACAAGGTTGCAGTGGTGCTGAGTGTAGATCTGGAACCCTAATCTTCTGATATACCACTTTTTTAAGGGCTTTGTCTGACTTTGAGAACCATAATTTTTTTGTGTGTATTCTACTCATTGTCTCTCACCTTAATGTACAATCTTCCACAGCAACTTCCGTTCCAGTTGACTGCAAGCTCTAGTTATTGCAAGCTGCATACAGGACTGGGGGAAGGAAATCTAGGCTTCATATGTTTCAGTTTATTTGTTAAAAAAAGGGATAGGGATTTTTATGATGCTCCATTTTTTTGCAGTAAGTGTTCCTAATTAGCAAGAGCGAAGTGTGTAGAGAACACCATTGTCTTAAAACAGGTGATATACTTTGCATGGAGGAGAGAAGTCAAACGTGTATGTACAGAAAATGTAATTCAGGGTACTTGAAGGCTTGAAAAGAAGATTTTATGCTTTGAAACCTGATACATAAGTCTGGTTTGTTTGAGTTTTTTTCCTTCCACCCCAAATCCCTCCAGTCATGTCACTCTAATAGAAGATATTGCCTCTCCCTACAAACTTTGCCTCACACATCCATAGATCACCACAGCAGATTGCTTCTCCAAATTAGGGACAGTTTTCTGTGAGCCTACTGGCAACTGTGATTTTTTGGGGGAAATCTGAGAACACTAGTTTAGCCAGTGTGGCAAAGTGGTATGCTGCTGCCAGTCCACATGAGCAGCCTCATCTGGATTCAGTTTTGTAGCTGAGGCACTGCTTTCCTAGTGAGAGGTTAGCAGGCACCTCTGCATGTGTTGATGGGATAGTTGTTTTTTCATAATTTCTGCCATGTCTCAGCTTCCACACAGGCTTTCCTAATTGCTACCTTCTTTTGTGAACAGATGCAGACTCTGTATGCTTTCGATGAAGAAGAAACAGAAATGAAAAACAAAATAGTTGAAGACTTGAAGACAGCTCTGCGGACTCAGCCCATGAGGTAATGTTGTTCGCCTTTCATCACAATTCACTACCTCCTAATGGTCATTTGTGACACCACTAAGAGTGGCAAGGACAGAAACCTCATTGTCTCACATCACACAAGCCTCTCTGAGATTTCAGACAATCCTCAGAGAGCCTTATAGTCCCTGGTCTGAGCCTGCCTAGTTGGGAGGCTAACTAATTTCACACTAATGCTGAAATATGTAGTTTCAGAAAAATGAAAGACAAAGTCTGCTGTGAAAAATCTGTGACAGATACTTGCAAACACAGGTAATGACTATGATGATCAGATTTTAGTCTTCACGGCCCCCTGCATATCCCATGTAATTTGAATCACTTTGGGGAAAGTCTCAGTCTCTACTCTGAACTTTGAATTTAAGCTTCCCCTTATCTTAAATAATGTGAACTGTTTTGTACAAAGCAGCTAATCCATTTTACATCACCTGGTTTGGCATTCTTCCCATTCTATGTTGTAACTGTGGCATAGAAAAATGTAAAGAGACTTTATTGTGTACTATCTTTGAAGGTAAGGTCATCTTTCTTTTTCTGGGAACAAAGCTCTGAAAAATAGCAAACTAACTAATATAGAAACCTTTCCAATTTAACACTTGGAAAAGCAATGTGGAGAAGCAACAACTTTAGTTGATATGATTTCAGGAAACAATCAAAAAAATTCTGCATGTTTTTTTATATTGGCCAAATACTTTTGCACCAACATGATGCTGAAGTCATACTTTCAGAGAGCTTTATTCATCAGAAATGCCTAACCAAATACAGTAATTTTGGGGGGAGTAGATCCTAACCAAACCAAACAAATGAAATGTAGTGTTTTAGGTTTGCTAATTTTTCTCAGCAAATGCACTAAATAATGTAGTGGGTTCAGCAATGGCTAAAATCTAGTACACCTACTACAATTATTTACTCATTTCTTGCTGTGAGATATGAATTAGCAGGAGGGTAAAGGAGGCTCAAAACTTAAAATGTATATAGAAAACTTTATTAACAGAACTAAAAGAATAATAAGAATCAGAATAAAACCTTCAGAACACTTCTCCTCCCTTCTCTACAATCTCTTTTCTTTCTCTGTGACAACATAGACACAAAACTTGAGATTTTCAGTCAGGTGCTACCTCTAAAATAGTCTTTCATCAGTTGTTGTAGGGAAAGGAGTTTCTCTTGCTATGCTATGGAGACTTCTCCACAAGAAATAGTTCTCTTGTGGCTTTTTAATTTCTACAAATAGCAGCTGCCTGGAAAATCTGTAATTGTGTAGTTCCTCTCATTTTTACAGCCTTCCTACAGCTGAGTTTATGGGCTATGTTAATTTATAGAGTACTGTTTTAAGGATGAGCTGTTCAAAAGCAAAGGTTCTCTTTATTTATCTTTGAAATTTTATTTTCATTTTTAGGAACAGAGGTCTTCTACTTTCCTTGAGGGCAAAGGGTCTTTATTACTCTCATCTCTCTCTATGTTCAAGCTTCTTGTGGGATCACAGCTACTTCAACATCTGCTTGGCTTCATTACGGATGCCTCTGCTCATGTCTACAGTTTAAACATTCTATCCTCGTATACTTTTTTATGAATTAAAGGAGATATTCTAGTGTATCATAGTCTATCTCTATGGCTTTACTAAAATAATTTTCAGCTTAATACTAAGGCCTGTCTTTATTCTATTTTTATTTGGGACTTGACTCTCTTTACTGACCTTGGTGTCTTCATATTGTCTGCTATGTGTTTTCACTCTGTCCTTTTCTCTCACTCAAGAGAGGATTAATGTTTTGCAAGTTTTATTTGTGTAGTGAAAGAGTTAGTATCTTTCTCAGGCCTGTGGGTGGTCATGAAAGGTGGACATGCTTCAAAACAGAGGTCTTGAGGGCACAGGAACAGGCTATCCCTGTGCAGAAAGACAAGTCAACAAGGCAAACATCCAGCCTGGATGGGAATGGAGATTTTGGAGGAACTTAGGAACAAAAAAGGATGTATCATCTTTGGAAGGAGGGTCAGGTCTCTCAGGAAGTAATATGGGGGGCTGCTAGAGCATGTAGGAAAAAATTAGAGAAGCCAATGCTCAGTTTGAACTTAAAATGGCAACTTCTGTAAAAGACAATAAAAAATGTTTTTACAAATATATTAATGGTAAAAGGAAGGGTAAGATCAACCTTTGATCTTTATTGGATGAGGGAGGGAGCTTAGTAGCTGCAGATGAGGAGAAGGCAGAAGTGCTTAATGCCTTCTTTGCCTCAGTCTTTAGTGGGAAGATGGCTTGTCCTCAGGACAGGTGATCTACTGGATTGGTAGATGGTGTCAGGGAGCAGAATGGTCCCCCTGTTATCCAGGAGGAGGCAGTCAGAGAACTGCTGAGCCACTTCGATGTTCATAAATCTATGGGACCAGATGGGATCCATCCCAGGGTGATGGGTGAACTGGCAGATGAGCTTGTGAAGCTGCTCTCCATCATTTACCAGAAATTCTGGCTCACTGGTGAGGTTCCAGATGACTGGAAGCTGGCCAGTGTGACACTCATTCACAAAAAGGGTGGGAAGGAGGATCCTGCTAATTATAGGCCAGTCAGCCTGACCTCAGTACCTGTTAAGGTTAAGGAGCAGTTTATACTGAGTGTCATCATGCAGCACTTACAGGATGGCCAGGGCATCAGACCTAGCCAGCATGGGTTTAGGAGGGGTAGGTCATGTTTGACCAACCTGGTCTCCATTTATGACCAGGTGGCCCACCCGGTGGATGCAGGAAAGGCTGTGGATGTTGTCTATTGGGACTTCAGCAAGGCCTTTGACACTTTCTCCCACAGCACACTCCTGGAAAAGCTGGCAGCCGACAGCTCGGACAGGAGGACTCTGTGCTGGGTTAAGAACTGGCTGGATGGTCAGGCCCAGAGAGTGGTGGTGAACAGTGCTGCATCTAGCTGGGGGCCAGTTACCAGTGGTGTTCCTCAGGGGTCTGTGCTGCGGCCTGTTCTGTTCAATATCTCTATTGATAACATGGATGAGGGTATTGAGTCTTTCATTAGTAAATTTGCAGACAACACTAAGCTGGGAGTGTGTGTCGATCTGTTGGAAAGGAGGAGGGCTCTGCAGAGAGACCTCTGCATTTAGATGAATGGGCAAAGTCCAGTGGGATGAAGTTTAATAAGTCTAAGTGCTGAGTCCTGCATTTTGGCCACAAAACCCCCCTGCAACATTATAGACTGGGGACGGTGTGGCTGGACAGTGCCCAGGTAGAAAGGGGCCCTGGGGGTACTTGTGACAGCCAGCTGAACATGCACCAGCAGTGTGCCAAGAAGGACAATGGCATCCTAGCCTGGATCAGGAATCCCAGCAGGAACAGGGAGGTCATTCCTCACCTGTACTCAGCACTGGTGAGGCTGCACCTTGAGTGCTGTGTCCAGTTCTGGGCCCCTCAGTTCAGGAAGGACGTTGAGACACTTGAGCATGTCCAGAGGAGGGCAACAAGGCTGGTGAGGGGCTTGGAACACGAGCCCTTTGAGGAACGACTGAGAGAGCTGGGGTTGTTCAGCCTGGAGAAAAGGAGACTCAGAGGTGACCTTATCACTCTCTACAGCTTCCTGAAAGGTGGCTGTAGTCAGGCGGGGGTTCGTCTCTTTCACCAGGCAGCAACTGACAGAACAAGAGGACACTGTCTTAAGCTGCACCAAGGGAAATTTAAGCTGGAGATTAGAAAAAAGTTTTTCATTGAACGAGTGAAATATTGTAATGGCCTGCCCAGGGAGGTGGTGGAATCACCATCCCTGGATGTGTTTAAAAAAAGACTGCATCTGGCACTCGGTGCCATAGTTTATTTGAGGTGTTGGGGCATAGGTTGGACTCAATGATCTTGAAGGTCTCTTCCAACCTATGGAATTCTGTGATTCTGTGAGGGATTCTGCCGGGCAGTGGCTGAAGCAGTCACGGTGATGGATTTCAGGCCGCACTGGGGGCTGTGCTAAGATCTTAGGGGGCCTAGCTAGAACAGTGGCAGCCACTCTGGCTCTGGCCCCTGCTTCTATCAATTTCAGCTGCGGGCCGATGACTTCTCGTCTCTGCCCAGCAGCCACTAGGGCCACGCAGGCCACCACTGAGGGGGTCTGGCCTGGCCTGTAGCCAGTCCCATGGCCTAGCAGACTACAGCTTGGCGCAGGCCAGCAGTGGGGCAGGGCTTAGCATTAGCAAGATGTTAGCAGCTGGGGCCCTGTGGCCCTCAGCCCTGCCAGGCCACGCAGGCTGTAGCAGAGTGGCGCCAGCCTGACCGGCGCCCATTTACCTCTTCAAAGCTGGAAGCAAGAGAGAGCTTTCCCATGCTTGCCAGTCTTTAAAATGTGGATTTCACAGAGGCAGACCCAGCTTTTAAATGGCTTAATAGGTTTTCAGTTCTCAGAACTAGCCAGCTATTGGTTTTTGCTAGGCACAGAGGAAACTCATAATAGCTTCTCTCAGAAAAATCATTTCTGTGGGTGGCTTCTTCTCTCCTCACCTTCAAATATCAATGAATGCATAACCAGCACATGAAACAAATAAATGAAAACAATCCAGAATTTTCATTGTAGTTACTTTGACTTGAAGATATTTTTGTGACTCTTTGCAGAGCTAAGTGCTGCTTGTCCTTCTCCCTTTCATAATCTTTAAAAAATTGACTGCATGCAGCTTCCCTGGTTTTTACCTCCTGTTTATTTCCTGTTGTGATGGGCTTTAAGAGACCAGAGAATCATATTCTGGTGCTCCTCAGGCATAAAATTTATCAAGCTTTGATAATTTTACATGCAGGTAGAGTGAGTGCTTTTAATGTGGAAATAGAAAAGTTGTAGCCTATACTGAGACCCAAGTCAAGAGTGACTGTTTGATGCTGTCCAGCACTGTCCTAAAGTAGAGAACACAGTAAAATGCAGCTGGTCTCTATGTTAAAATGGAAGGTAAGGCAGCTGTCAAGCTTCCAACTCTCATCAGGCTTTTAAAGCAAAGTCCTATGCTGTTGAGACTTAAATTCCTTAATTTAATGTGGAGATGGTTTGATGCTTACTCTGTAAAGGTGACAGCTTTCATTGAATGTAGCCACAGCAGCAAGGCCTCTTTGTTTTGTCCAGCTGAATCACTTTGATGGCCACTCTTTGTTGTTCTGCTCTGTCATTTTGAATAGACAGCCCAACTCCTTGTTGATGGCAAGGCAATAGAGAAGAAGAGCAATGAGGATTTGAGCAAATTCTATTGCTCAAAGCCTTGCAGGACTTTTCTTCTCCAACCTGTATTGCATCTGCTGGATCTCCTTGACAACAGATTGTTGCTTCATCTGTTTGTAATAACCCTGACAACCACAAGTCAGTACAAGCATCTATGGGCTGCCCTATAAAGTCTTCTAAATCACTGGCGATGGTTGTGGGGCTTTTTGAAAAAAACAGTTAAGGCAAGCCAAATTTTTAGGTAAGTCTTGTGTCTCAATTAATTCCCAGCAACTCAATTGGTTAGCTGCCAAATGGGCTGCATGCCAGTACCTGATCAACAAGCCAATTTCTTCTTGATGGAAATGTTGCAGTAGAGAGGCCCTCAGCTCCATCAAATCTCTCTCATAAGCAGTGTAATACCTAAGCCTTCAAAATACTAATCTTTCTATTTTAATTTGTATATCAAAACTTTTTTTCTTTGCTACTTCTGTTACACTCTCTTAAACTTGAAAGGCAAAGAGGTGCCCTGCCTTTTAGTGTACTAAACTGGTCAAGTGAAAGTCTGAGGTAAGGTTAGGCTTTAATTTGCTTGTATAGCACCTATTAAAACACACTCTGATTTATTTACATTTGAGTATTTGAATGTGTTAGCCAGAATACATTGGCAAATATGTTTAACTTTACACCTCCCAGCCTAGAACAAGACCTTACTTCGCAGCACAGAGGCTGTGTAGAGCAGGAGTTAGTTACACATGTGCTGTGTACTGTGTGCGAGAAGGTTCTTGTATAAGTTGACTTTGCTTTTGCACATACACACAGACATCTGTGTGGAGGCAGACATGCACAAACACCAAGAGTGTGAGGATTGTGGCTCTCAGGCTGTCACCTAAACTCCAACTTCTTTTTCTACCTCTACAGACATTTACTCACACACCTCCCCACACCAAGAAAATCCTCATACTGAAAGTATCTGTTGGGCCGGAAACTACTTTTGCCATTTCTTTACCTTCCCCAGCAAGGCTTCTGTCTATTCTGGAGAATAAGGAACTAAGTGTTTAGAAAAAGGAAGATGAAAATTATAATTTGATTCCTTCTTCTGATTGCAGCTGGAATAGAAAGTACTTGGCTGTGCTTGCTATTGAGTAACACAACTCACTGTTTGCTCTCTGGGCTAGGAATAGTACAGGAAAGAGAATATGCAATCAGACCTGTGTGAAACTTGGCAGATTGTCTTAGCAGGGTTCAGTTAAACCATGTGTTTATTTGGTGTGCACATGTTCCTGTGTGTGCCCTTACTCTCATAGTCACTTTGAAATTCAGTTCTGAATAAATTCCAAACCTCAGATTGAAACCTTTGAATGTGCCAGGCTCTTACATGTTTTTGGTCAAATTGCTGGCCCACATAAGCTGAAAGCTGGCAAATTCATCAGCATAGTGAGTGTAACTTTCAGTTAGACTCTGAAAATTCCTGTGTCATGTGGAGTGTAACCACCAAAAGACCATCCATATGTCAAATCCATATTATCCAGAGTAATATAAGTATGGCTTGAGTTTCTCTTGCTGGTACAGGGACACGAATGGAGACCAGTGAAATTTGGTCTTTCAGTATGGTGCTTCCTTTATTACTGATTATAAGTAACAGCATCTCATGGACAGAAAAAGGAAGATGATATATTAGGGAAGAAGAGGGACTGGATAAAAGCACAACAACACAGAATTTTGGTATTTTTATTTTGTTACACAGGTGGCAATTGTTAGCAACCTTTAAAATTGCTTGAAGTGTCTTTCTATATTGTGCTGTTCAAAGTGTGGACATAGAAGAATCATTGCTGTTGTACATTTTTATAGACTGAAAAGTCAAGTGTGATGCACATTGTTTTGCAATCAGACATTACAAAAAGTGTACCTACCTGAGCAACATGTTAGAGGAGGCAGGAGGTAAACAAAGTGATCTAGGGAAATTATTTGCAGCCCTTTCCATGTCTTTGAATCCCGATTTTTAATCCTGGGAATTTCAAGTGAAATATTGCTAGAATGATTGGTTTGAACTGACTTATCTAATTCCATCCTTTTCTACTTATTTGTCTAGAGGGCTGTTTGCATGGTCTAAATTGACCCATTTGGATTTTTTTTAACCCTGGTTTTCAACAAAAGCAGAGGAGTGTTACCATTTACAGGAGAACATGCCCCTTTTAAATATAACACGTTCCTATACATATGTCATGGGATTGAAGTGTGAAGGCAGTATGGCTGATGGACAGAGTGGGAAGGAGTTTACCTCTGCCAGTGTGCCAAATCCTGGAGGTGGAACCTATATATACCTATATATAACCTATATATTGGCTGAAAGTTAGAGCTAAGCCTAAAAATGGCTTTCAAGGTAATCTGAACTCATAACTAAAAGTGTGGTGAGAAGTCTGTGTGTTGGGTAATGTAAAACAGAGTAATTCAAAAGAATCCCTTCAGCCTCTAAAATGTAGCAGCTGTGGAGGTGAACTACAACAGTGTTTGGTGGTAACTGCAACAAAGGACACAGAGACCAAACAGAAATATAAAATGATAGCATATAATTTCCCTGAAACTATGTAACACACCATTATCAGTTGGAATGTTTCCTCTCTTGGTATGTTTGCTTTGTTTTTCTTAAATACCTGGGAATAGTTCTGTGAATTTAGGCTGAAAACTAGCCAGCTTTTAGAGATCTGGGGTTGAATAATATAGTGTCTTGAATAACGTGTCTTTGGTCAGCTTTCCTTGATTTTCCTGCTTGTTTTCTTCTGGGTTTTCTCTATTCAGGTTTGTGACCAGGTTTATTGAGCTGGATGGCCTGAGTTGTTTGCTGAACTTCCTGAAGAGCATGGACTATGACACCTCAGAGAGTCGCATCCACACATCCGTTATAGGGTGTATCAAGGCACTGATGAACAACTCCCAGGGACGGGCTCATGTCCTGGCCCATCCAGAAAGTATCAACATCATATCCCAGAGTTTACAGACTGAGAACATTAAGACCAAGATTGCTGTGCTGGAGATCCTAGGGGCTGTCTGCTTGGTACCAGATGGTCACAAAAAAGTCTTGCAAGCCATGTTTCACTACCAAGTCTATGCTGCAGAAAGGACAAGATTCCAGGTAAAAGAAGGATACTTGGACAGAAATATTTAGACTAAGGAATCTCTTCTGGGAGTGATTTTTACAGTGCATATATTGCAAACTTGCTAAGTAGTAAAAAGGCAACATTTATAATTTTGTTTTAGGAAGGGAAATGACTCAAATTGTTTGTTTGTTTGTTTGTTTGTTTTTCAAGACATATTGCTTGTCCTTAATGCTAACTTATGCTAACTTAAAACTCTGTATATTTTGCCTCAAAAATATATGGAGGTTTGCTGTGCTAAATGAAAGCTGATTATCTGCTCATATTCTAGCTTGATGGCATTTCTGGGGTGGTAATGATTTATTCTGTCCTAGAAGGTGAAGACATAGAGTTTCAGGAGCCTCTGTCCTGATTTTAAATCCTTTATTTAGTAATACAAGAATTGTGGATTAAATAATGGATACAATTTATTAAATTATCTATAATTTAATATTATTTCACTTGCACTTAGAAATTTCACTTGCCACTTAGAAATCAACTTGTGAATCGTCATCACGTAGCAATTGTTGGCTCAAATAACACCTATTTAGACCATAGAAAGGAAATGCATTCTCAGAGACCTTGAAGAAGGTCAGTGACAAGGTTTTATTGTGAAAACTACTGGCTGCTACTATAGTGTTCCTCTTCCCAGTGAACTGTACATCTTTCATAAAAATAGTAGAGAATCTGTTCCAGTGTGTGAAGCTGTGGCTCCTTAACTTTGGGATAATCACACTCATTTACTGTTCTTTCTTAGGTGAAATTATTAGAGTGGTGTTGTGCCAGCAGGCACTGGATATCAGTGCCTGACAGTCATCTCCTACCTCATTCCCAGCTAATGGATTTTAGGCTACAATTAACTTATTACTGTAAAAGTGAATGGGGAAATAGTCTGTGCTGATGGACAGTAACTGCCAAAGTTTGTGTTAGTACCAAATGCACTATGGGATTCACTGACTGTGACTCAGACCTGGGACAGAGATGCAGGAAATCTTGGTTTGGTATTAACCTATATTTGACATTGGCAGGTCCATTCCTCTATGTGCACTGCCCCATTTGCATTGCTTGTCTATTCAGACTTGATGTGTGTCTTGGATATGCAAGTGTAGCACATATGATGTATGGCTCCAGAAGTGGGAGCCTTTTAGCCTCAGTTGGAAGCTCTTGGGGTTATTTCAAAGAGAAAATCATGATTACAACAAAACTTGGAAGGTGAAGAGATTACAGCTGCAGTCATAAGAATGCATCTTTAGTACAAGAGTCGGATAGGAATGAGCAGTGCAGATTCAGCAAGTGAACCATGCACATGAGCTACGTTTGGGAGGTTATTTGGTACCGCCTATGGAGGAGAGGGAAAAAAATTAAAGTCAGCTTGTTCTCTAGTAATTAGCTGAAATAAAGAATCCTTCCTGAATTATTATGACATTCTTTTATATCTGGGAGACAGGTGGGGATAACTTACAAGCCTGACTACGCTTGTGGTCCTATGGTAACTTGCCCTTACTGGACCAATTGACTGCTTAATAAGCCCATTTGGGATAGATGCTGAGTTACCCTAGTTGGGTGTTCTCTGTCTCTCTCTCTGTTTCTGTGTTGATTTAAAAGTTACTGAATAACTGAGGTCAGTCTTTTCTGGGTAAAATGTGATAGCCTTTGAGGAATCTGGTGGAATGATTTGCAGGTCCTTGCCAGTCTCTTACATTCATGAAAAGTACTTTGCATAAATGCTCAGCTTGTCAAAATTTTCCGTTCAGGAAAAAAGTGAAAGATAAATGGATAGTCTCATTTACTTCTCAAGTAAAAAAAAAAAGCAGCCCTACCCAACCCACAAAATGATTTAGCAGAGGGAATGTGTTCTTGTTTGCCATACTTGTGTTTAGAGACTGAAAGACTGAAATGGGATTTTCCACTACACTCAACAATTGCTTGAGTTTAATTTTGAGGAGGTAAGTTTTCATTCAAAGACATACCTCTTCCATCTCTAGTTATTCTTCTAGAAGAGAGACTGGGGATTTTTTAAATCTTGAAGAAACAAATGTGGTCATGGTCTTACATTTTAGAGGAAGTTTCTCTGATACTCTAACACTTAAATATTAAGAGTGTTCCATCTCTTTGCCTCTTGCCCTCCTGCACCTTCGTCTCAGTCTTGCAGCTTATTGTCAAGAAAAGCACCCACTGTAACTTGAATACGGAAGCCAGTTTAAAAGAAGAATGAGCTGAAAATGCTCATTCATTTGATGACTTCAATGATGCAGTCTACAATGAAAGCCTTTTTTTATCCTCTTTTAATCCTAGTCCTGAATGTAATTTTTGTAACCCAGAGTTTGCAAGTATCTGAAGAGACTCTTCAGGTGTGAAACTGAATCCTTTTGGGGCTGTGTTTCCTGCAGCTTGAGCTGCAACATCTAGCAGCAATATTTAGTGCATTGAAGTATCCAAGAAGTGTGGAGCTTGCTGCAAACTTCACACTTTGCAACTTGACTTTCACCAGCCACACCTAAACATTATTACATTGAAAACTGTTCATCACAAGTGGGGAATCTGGCAGAACCCGCAAACAAGAATTCTTTTTGTGAAAGTAATAAAACTGAGAACTAAACTGTAGGAACAGGAAAAACTACACAGAGTAGAAATTTATTCCTTTGCCTCCATAGTCGATCATTGCAGACTGATTCTAATTGATGGGGGGAAGGAAAGCTGGGAACTGTAAAGGCACTGCTCAGTCTTTCCCTGTATCTAGCTCTGCAAGACAGTGACCAGATTAGTGACACAGTATGTAAGAGGAAAATAATCTCAAATTTTGGATATCAGCTCTGTTCTTGTGAAGTAAAAGTGCAGGGCTTTCTAAAAATTGTACTGAGCTCACTTCTATTTGAATGTCCAACAAATAACTTATAGGTGAGCTGACCTCTGACAATATCAGTGCCAGTATTGCTTTTCCTTAAATTGCCTTCCTGACAAGAGTGGTTGAAAATATTTGTCATCCCATTCAGCCATCTTGGTCTCAATTTATTCCTCCTCATCTTTGAAAGCTGGCACTTTGTATACTCAATCTGTTTGGATTTATTTTCAACTCTTGCAGGTAGCAGCAAACTTACGTGTCCCATTCTCCCTTATGTCATTTGTGGTGACCAGCACTATGTCCATTGGGGAATCAGGAGGTTAATGTAATTAACACCAATACAGATCTATTTTTCCCCAAAAATGTTTCTTTTGAAGAGGAATATCATTGTGATGAATAATAATTTGGGGTATGTGGTTCTGCTTCTACTCCTTTTTGTAAGAAGGAGGAAGAGAGGTTCAGAATGATTTTCTGACAACTACCTAAAATTTGAGCTCCTGAATAACTTGCTGCTGACAACTTTAGATTGAAACAGTGATTATTTCCAGTTTGCACAAGTGTGGTGGAGTGTAGAGATCATATATTTAACACAGCAACATAAAACATGGCACATTTTGTTGAATATAAGAAGTTATTGCCAGTCAATGTTCTAAACACTACTGCTACCTGGCCCAGCTGCCAAAAGTTGTCAGAAGACTCGGCAACTGGTGAATTAGTGGAGAAGGAAAGCTGACTTAAGATATGGTTCTTACAAAACTTATATTGACTCTGTCCTGCAATAGCTCCCATTACTTGAATAGAAAACTTACAGGTTTATCCTAGTGTATCTGAAGTCAAAATTCAAATGACAATGAAATTCCTGAGCATTATAAATGCTTTTAGTCCCCATTAACTAAATTGCATATAGTAATACCAACTGAAGACCATTAATCAAACAGTGCTAAAATGCTTCAAAAAGGGTGTCTTTGTTTCTTGGTGTGTTTTTGTTGTTGTTGTTGTTTTGGTTTGGGTTTTTTTTTTTAATAGAAATTAATGGAAAATATAAATAGAACCTATATGAATATGAAGGACTATTTCCTTAATCAAAAAAATTCTGATTTTACTCTGAATTCAAAGTCATCTAAAATATTTCTTTCTAAATTGTCAGCATTTCATCTACTGACTATAATTGTCAGTCCCTAACTTCAGTCAGGATTCTCTTTAAAGCACTGGGGAGATTCTCCAGAACTTACTCTTTTGTTAAGGCTGCAGTCTTCACTCAATTGTCTTTTTGTACTGCAGCTTCACTCTGTGTCTTTGATATTAAATGTTTTTATATGTCTATCAGGATCATCCTTGTCTTGGCACTTGAAACAAGACTCTCTACTTGTTTGTGTCTCCATTTATATAATCACTATTCCTATTTTCTCACATTTGCCACATCTTCTTGTCTGAACTTTTCCCTTTGCTCACTTTAATTATTGACTCTTCTTTTATAAGACCCTTCTGCCTGGAATTATTCTCACTTGAATGCCCAATAGGGCAGTCTGTAGTCCATCTTAAGATATTACTTGGAATTTGTCCTCTTCAGAGTAATACTCTTGCATGCCTTCAATCTCCTTCCTGAGGCAATCTGGAAAACTCTGTCTTCATCCAATTGTTTGAAACATGCTACTTTGCCTACAAATTCTACTCTGCCCTTTATACAACAGAGCTGAAAGAAAATATGCTGAAGATGAGTCCTTGTTGTTCTTGCTGGGATTTTTTATCATGTATTAAAGGTAATTCTGTCACTGGCTCACTGTGTGTGTGCTCATAAAAATGTTACTTTATCCTTCCTTTTTTTTTTTGGTCTCTTGTGAAGGTGCAGTTTTATAAAATGCTATGAAAAGTAAGAAAGAAGAGTCTCTGATTGTAAAGTAATTCATGTCTGAATTATCCTGTTTATGATTAGTTTCCCTTGTTAAAGGGGCACAGTCTTTCTCTCCCCTAAGGTGTTGCCTTTCTGATTATTCTTATGCTTGCTGCTTCCCCTCTTTTTCTCTGTGACATGACATTGTAGCACATTATACTTTTTAACATGCCATATTTTGAAACAAAACTAACATTGAAAAGTGATAATGCTCTATTGGCCAAAAAAGTTTATCAGGATGTTCCAGTTCTCTTCCAGCATACCTTGCTATTTAAAACACTAGTCTAGCTGTGGATCCCTGTGGGGAGAAAGAATTTTCCTTTTAGTCTTGAGAGAATCTAGGTGTTAGATACTGTCTGAAAGAAGATGATTTCACTTGCCAATGGAAATATTAACTGGGCTGCTTTAGTTAGAAAACTCTTGTTTCCCTCCTTAATGCTGCTAGAAGTTTGAAGCTTGAGGTGAATGAATAAAGTTTGATATTGTCAGTTGCAAAGGTGGACACCAGGAGCATTCCTGCCAGAGTCCCCTTGCTTGGTTTGTCACTGTCAGTAAACACTGTCAGTACAGACCATTTGTAATTTGTAAGAAGAAATCTGATCAATTTGGAATTGTAGTAGAGGATCTAGAAGGAGCAAATTAAAAGGCTATATTCATCCTTGATTTTCTTCTTTGCTTTAGGGCTCAACCAAAGCCTTCTGAGGTTTGCTGCAGATTGAATGAAACCCTACTGGTTGTCAGTGATGAGGAATAATGGGATTAAGTGAGGAAAGTTTTGCTTAAATAGTAGGAAAAACCTTTATGACATCAATTGGGCCAAAGAACTAGCTGCCAAGAGGTGTGGTGAAGTCTTTTTCTCAGGAAATGTTCAAGTGAAGGTTTAAACCTCAGCCATTTGCAAAGAGTTGGAGATACTGGAGTTTGCCAAAGTATGTGGGTGTAGACTCTGATGTTTAGGAATTGCAAGAATTTACAGTGTTTCCTTGTCAAGCTGAACAATTACATAAAGATGTGCTGCTCTTCAACTGGATTAGTGCAACACAAGAGTTTTGGATTTTCTCATTCTGAATTTGGTTTGCCTCTCATTTCCATTCTGCTCCTAGTTCAGTGTTCTGAAATGGAGGATAAAAAACTTTAACATCCTTCAACCCTCAGCCTGTCTGGATGCTGTACCTGATATGCTGTTTCATAGATTCTAGCATGTTCCTGAAAGTCTGTGAGAAAATATGATAGGAATAAACCCTGTGAAGAAAACCAGCAAAACCGCCTTTGGTTTTGCTGCTTCAGTAGTGATGGCTAATTCAATTATTCCAAGATGACATGTGTGTTTTGCATTTCAGTGTCAAATCTGGCAGTAACAGAATAAAATTCTCTCATTTATTTCACTTCTACTGTTTGTCAAGTTGAACAGTTGGTTTTCTTGGTGAATTTAAAGACTTCTCAGATAGTTTCTGATTGTCACTGTTAGAGATAGGATGCTGTATTGAACTGACCACTAGTCTGGCTTAGTAGAGAATTACATGTGCATTTATGTAAGACTCATTCCCATTTCTAGCAAAATATTATTTGGTCATAACACAGTTACTGGAGTGTTCAATGAGATTGGAACTCAAATGCCTAGAGTAGGGAAATTTGAAAGTTCCAGATGTGAAATTTAGAAGCAGCAAGAGAAAGGAGTTTATGAAATCAAGCTTGTTTGATAATGAATATAGTGTGCTCAGACATAAAAACAGCTCTCAGTAGCAGTGTATGATAGGTCAAAATATTTTTGCACAAAAGTAAGCATGAAGACAGTAGGTTATTCTTTCCCCTGTAGAATGCACAGGAGGATATTCCTCCTGTTTCTTGAGACATATCTCTGTGGCTTTCTACAGGAAATAAGATAGACCTATGGGGACTAGTGGAGGAAAGATTTTGCTATAAATTAACACTTTCAGTAAACAGGGACAAAAAATTGACTAGAAGAAAATGAACTTCCTTACTCAGCATCATAACTTCAAAATGTTGTTTAGATGGTCTGCTGAGCCAAACACTAAAAAGTTATTTTTGTCTTCATTATCCCTTTATGGTCAAAACTTCTTGGGGAGACTAAAAAGAATGCTCTCTTTTTTTAGTGCAACAACAAAACAAATATGAGTGTGAGGCATTTATTATTAATGCTGAAGTGAGACTCATACAATTTAATTGGCAGATCTCAAGTGGAATTTGTTACTCTTTCAGTGAGGAAAATCATCCTTGTAATTATGAGCTGATGAGAGAAGAACCTGAAGATAATATTAATGGTGATCAGCACAAAGCTAAAAGTAGAGCTTCTTTCATGACTAATCAGTTTACGCATATAACCTTTTTGGTAAATACTCAAGTGGAACTAATCCTTAAAAAGGCTAAGGCCACCAATGTTATTTGTCTAGTCTTTTTCTCCTTTGTCTCCTGATGTTCAAAAGATTATGGTAAAATATCAATATGTGTATCAAAATATGCAGAAATTAGACCTAAAGCATTCCTGTGCTGAATGCCCGCTGTGGGTTGGTTAACAGGGAGACATGCAGCCTCTAGGGAAAACTTCCAGCAGCCTTTCAATAAACAGTGTATAAGCAAGATGGAGAAAGGTATTTTACCAGGGACTGTGGTGACAGGACAAGGGCTAAAGAGTTTAAACTATAAGAGGCTAGATATAGAATGGATGAAAGAAAGGTATTTTTATGATGAGGGTGGAAAGGCACTGGAACAGGTTGGCTGGAGTTGTTGTAGATGCCTCATCCCTGGAAGTGTTCAAGGCCAGGCTGGATGGGGCTTTGAGGAGCCTGGTCTGGCAGAAGGATGTTCCTGCCCACGGCATAGGGGTCAGAACTAAATGATCTTTAAATGTAATTTTTAATCCAAACCATTCCATGAGTCTGTAACATGGAAACTGGAGTTTAACTGTACCTCCAGTGTAGATGTGTAATTCAACTTCGAGCTTTGGAGCTATTTGCACATGAGATATTCCTGTTATTTGAAAATCCCTAAAAGGTGCTTACCAAGAGGTAATAATTGTCTGCTTCATGTTAAAGGGTGGTAAGTGAAGGAACGAAGATAAATCTTTCAATTCAATGTGCATAATTCAGGCATAGGCTTTATTCCTCAAAAGACAGCTTCTCTTTACAGTTATTTACCCCTTTATACAGAAGTGCAATCTATCCTGCAAGAAATTAGATTATGTCCTCTAACCCAGCTTGCTGTTCTGTTTCAGTCATTGTTAAATGAGCTAGACCGAAGCATGGGGCGATACCAAGATGAAGTAAACCTCAAAACAGCCATCATGTCCTTCATCAATGCTGTCCTGAATGCAGGTGCTGGTGAGGTGAGAGCCCTGGAAATTCCTTCTAAAATGTTATGTTTAAATTAGTTTACTTTGGAACTAGTTAGTAGATTAAATCACAAATCTTGTGGTAGTGAGTGGATATGTTTTGTGGAAAATAATGTTTAATTGTTAAGATCAGTCTTATAATCTTATCCAATTATTTCATTTAGAGCTTCTTTAATATAACATAGACTACCTACACTGAAGTGATTACATTGGGTGGTTGGTTGGTTGGTTTTTAGTTGTTCTGGTAGTGGGTTTTTTGTTGGTTTGTTTTAAGAACTGTAAAGCATTTACCTTTTTATTCCAGCCTTTTTAGAAAATATTTTTGTTTACATTCAGAAACATTTTGAAATGTTGTTTTGACTCAAAGCAAAAGTCAAAGCATTTTAATTTTAAAATATCAAAGGGAAACATTTCAGAAAAAAGCCCAGTTATTTTATTAACAAGACTCCCTTTTGACTCTGAAAGATAGTTTAATTTATTTCATTAAAAGTGTTACTTTTGTGACATTGGCTTTTTTTTTCTTTTTTTTGGTTAAACCACAAAAGACAACAAGCTCATGAGAACTAGATAATAATGTATTTGTCTCTCTCTGGGAATCCTGTATTATCCCAATGTCAGAATTTTTTGTTTGTCAGAATACGTGATTTTATGTATGTGGTTTTATGACAAATAAACTGAAAAAATAGGAGGAAGACTGCAGTGCTGTTCATCTGTAACTAGGAGGGGAACCTCTAATGGACTAGCAGGAAAAATGCCAGTAGCTTCTGTTCCTTATGGAACTACATGGAGTGTGCATATCCTTATGATATGCAAAATTCAAAGTACATAATTGTGCTTTTAAGTGAAATGGAGGCAAAGGCATTAATTCCTTTTTTACTTACTTTACTGGAATTATTCATCCTGTGAATTTGGTGACAGGATAGAGACTATTAAAAAGGGAAGAACTGAAGTTTTAAGTAATTTTTTTTAAATGTGATTGACAGCTCTTGAAAACAAATAACTTGTTTTTCCCCCATTTTTTAAGGACAATTTGGAGTTCCGGTTGCATCTCCGATATGAGTTTCTAATGCTAGGAATTCAGCCCATCATTGACAAGCTCAGAGGACACGAGAATGCTACACTGGACAGGTAATTTCTGAGAAGAGCTACTGATGAACAGAAAAACTTCTTATAAACTCTTCTCTATTTCCGACAGCTGGGTCTGTCTCTTCTTGAAACTGACTCCCTAAAAACACCAAAAAAAAATTAAAAGAAGTATTTATCCTAAAATTAACATCAGCAGATGAAGTAGGAAACATACATACTAAATTGGCAGAGGCTGTTGCAAAGGAGTTCCTCAATTGCTTTTCTTCTCAGCTGGGGATGGCAGTCAGAATGAAAAACACAAAAAATATTCTAATTGTTTTCTCTGGAAGCAAAACTGGAACAAAAGCCTGTCCTGGTAGGAGGGAGGAAAGCCAGTAGTTAGTTCATTTACTTCATTGTGACTGAGTGTCTGTGGCCTTAGTGCAGGTTCCAAGTTTCCCAGTTGTATGTCTACGGTTTGCTGCAGAGCTGGAACCAGGAATGATACTTTACATCTGCAACGTTATAAGCAAGAATAAGAGAATCTGTCAAATGGGTAATCTGTATTCCTTTGGACAGCAACCAGAAGTGTTTAGGAGGGACTTAGGGCATTTTTGGATTTTACAAGTTAGTCAGGAGAATAACAAAGGTTTGAGAGGATCTCAGATGCCTGGATTACATAGCACAGACTCTTGTACCAGGTCTGTACAGGGGAATGTACTACAGCCTTTCTCCACATCATCTGCTGTGCTCCAGTTTCTGTGTAAGACAAGTCCAGATGGTCAAATGTGTCACTCACCCAGGTCACCCAGATCCAAATATAATCATGCTGCTGTGCTTATCAATAGGCATATCTAGAAACCTGTGAAAACTGATCCACTGACTGCATTTCTGCTCCACTGTTTAAAGGAAACAAATTATTAATGATCCAATAGCTGGCTAGAAAGCATGGTGTGGAGGTTTTAGAAATGTATTATCACTGCAGGCATTGCATTTGTCAAAAACAGAATATCTCTTTCCTATTTTATGTTTATTTTTTGCACCTTACCTCAAAACAGTGACTTAGCACAGGAGTTACAGAGTGTATACACCTCTACCAGCCTTTCCTTTTGGCCTGTCACTGATCTCCTTGTATTGCATACCTGTGATAGCACTTCATGTAAGAAAGGCTTGCCAATATCCACATCTTCCAGCTGAACTGAGGTATTGCTACTTCTCTCATGACAGACTTAAACTAAGTCTGAATCATGCCATGAACACTGGCAGATGTTTTGTTTTTCTGTTTCCTCTAAGACATTTAGATTTCTTTGAGATGGTCAGAAATGAAGATGACCTGGAGTTTGCCAAGCGGTTTGACCTGGTAAGTTATTCTTCGGGGTACCTGAACATGCCAAAGCTGAACTTGCATCTACTTGGGATGCTTGGTGCACCTTTCTTTGGTGCTCCCTAAAATTAATCTTTGACTTTGATGCTGAGAGTGGCTGATGCTCTTGTTTTCACTGTTTCTCATTTAGCAAGCAGGAGGTTTATGATGTGTGAACAATGAAAACAGTGGTCACACAAACGGCTTCTGATGAGTATTTTTGATAAAAACTTCTATTTTTCTTTGCCTGAATATTCAGGAGTGAAGGAGGTTCTCAGCTGTGCTCTCAGGTTCTCAGTCCTGATGCTCTGGATGCCTTCTAGTTTCAGACATCCCCATCGCAGGACTATGGGTGAAGTTTGGGCAATTTTCTGATATTCTTCCCAAGATTACATGTAACTCTGCTGCTGACTGTTGCCTCAGAGCCTGAGGAAAGGACCAGTATTTTAGAATATGTGGATTTTAAAGACTAACATAAACCAAAGACAACCTCTAGCATCAATAAAAAACTGTAGGGTCCTGAATCTGAATGATTTAGTCCCCTCTTTCTTCATGTACAGCTCTTGCTGCACACTGATACAAAACAACTGACCCTTTCTTGCTTAGCTTCTACTATTTGTGCCATCATTTTCTAGGACACAAATGTTTTGCTTGCTCCAGAACAGGTCTTGGTGGCTTTGCATGCCTCCCACCTTACTAGCCCTTTACTTTGGGGATCTTTTCCATACTGTACAGGGATGACAATGGTGGTGTCAAAGACCCATGTGGCCTGTTCCTGGAACCTGCAGCTGGACATGACAGGAGACTTTGCAGAGGTCCAGTTGCTGGAAATTTGTCTGTCTTTGTATGGATTGGATCTTTCACAGTTAATCAGGCTTTCAGTTTGGATGGTTTTCCTCTGCTCTCACTTCAGATCCACATTGATACAAAAAGTGCCTCTCAGATGTTTGAGTTGATCAAGAAGAGATTGAAGCATACAGATGCCTATCCCTATTTGTTATCCATCCTCCACCACTGCTTGCAGATGCCATGTAAGTATATTTACAGATTTCCAGAGCAAGGAGTATTGGAGAACTCAGTGAAGCTTTGGTGTAGGTACAAGTTCACAGATACCAGGGCACGCACTGCTTTCGTCTCCCATTCAGAACTTGGCTGTGGCAAATGAACTTGGTAACTTACATTGACTCTACCCAGCAAAATATTTGTTGCAATACTTAGGGCAGCAGTTTGACCTCTCTGCACTTGCAGATAAATTTGAGTAGCTGAGACATTCCAGTTAGTCACTGACAGAACTTTTAATGATTTTAAATCAGAAGTTTTAAAAAAGAGTCTTTGTGCTATAGATCAGGGAATTCCCAGAAATAGATAGCATTTTGAATAATTAAAAAAAGGCACTGAAGATTTTTTCTGGTGAAACAGTGCAGTACTAAAAGCTGTTCTGCCACTGGGAAGTTCCACAGTACCAGTCCCAGTCTTCAGGCTGGTATCTAATGGCAGTGCATCAGTGAAGGGCTCCCAAACTCAAAGTGAAAAATAATATTGGATTTTGTTTCCAAAGGTAGTGATAACAGTCTCCTTGTTAACTGCAATAAAATCGTTCAGTTATGCATCCAGAGTGTAACAGCAAGATCACTAACGAACTGCCTGCCTTGATCCTATTAGGAGTGAAGGTCTGGTCTTTCATTAATTTCATCCGTATTTAAGCAGTCAAACTGAGAAGGGAACATGAGGGAGATGTACTGTGCTGTGCTTTTCAGCAAGTAATATGATATATGGTATGTTCTCAGGCTCTCATTAGAATCAAGTACTGCCATGCACAAATTCAAGCAATACTTTGTCTCAGTGGCCTCTTTGATATTACTCTTTAGAAGAGAGCTTAAGCTTTATGTATTGACTGGGATTTTTGGTGGCAGAAGGACTAAATCCTGTTAGGCCAGGGCGGGATTGTACTGGAGCAGTTTTAAAGAATGTAAAGATCTAGGTTATGTAACTTAAAGAGCTGAGGTGGACTTAATGTTGCTCTGGCTCTTCTGTTTTGGTATCCATGAGAACAGTCCCTTTAGTTCAATTTCTGTTCTTTATCTCTGCACTTACAGTCATGTTTGTACAAATTTTTCATGCCAGTTGAGTTTCACTGACCTGCAGATAAGCAAGCATGCAGATAGAACATCTCATTATTTTTACAGTGACCTCAACATCAAGCCCCAGAAAACACTGAGTATTAGTTATCACAAAGGAATCCTTTTCATAGACATTTAAAGTGCAACATATGGCTAACCTGTCAAAAGGGTTACATAGCCTAAAGGTGAACATCAGACACAAAGTTGCCCATGCCTGTTATGTGGTGTCTCAGTATGCCAGGTGTTTGTAAATGATCTGCTAGCAACTATTCAGAGTTAGTCTTTGTGTTCTGTAATTCATCACACACAGGATTGAAATAAAAGGTGGGGAGGAACAAATGCCAGTTTGTTGGCAGGTCTGTGCATTTTCTCATGGAATTGGAAGTTCTCATGGGTTGGTCTTTTTCAATATAGATAAGAGGAATGGAGGAAACTTCCAGCAGTGGCAACTCTTGGACAGAATACTCCAACAAATTGTTCTTCAGGATGAACGAGGAGATGATCCAGATATAGCTCCATTGGAAAACTTCAGTGTCAAAAACATCATTAAAATGTAAGCTGCACTATTATTGTTTATTTCTGTTATGCAGGTATAAGGATATGAACATTATGCAGGTGCTTAAGAAATAAAATATATGTGAGGACTTTCTTATTTTAACTTACAGCTTCACATTGTCTTGTTAAGTAGTTAAGTCTTCTAAGTAGTTTCCTTCTAATGACATCTTAGCTTGGCAGTGTTTTCTAGCAAAGTGCTTGTATTTGACTTCTCTGTTACTCTGGTTAGAAAAGCAGCAGAAATGCTCATTATTTTATAACAAGGCTTCCTCGTGTGCGTTTTTCATTTAGAATGCTCATGAAAGCTTTCCTTGATACTAAAAAGTAAAAATAATGTCGTCATCTCTGTGTAGATCCCATTCCTCACTAATGAGCACATGGTTTAGAAAGATTGCAGATAGGGAAAAGCAGTCCCCACTTGGCGCACAAAAGCTCTTACCTCTTCATAAAATGTCTGTTTGCTCTCACCCACAGATTTGGTTGAGGGCATTACCATTATTTTTTCCCATAGGATGCATCATTTGAGAAGTCTAGCTACATGAGCTGGCTCTCTTCTCAACTTCCCTGTTCTCAGTCCTTTTTTAGCCAAACTTTTGGATCCTTCATTTCATTCAACTGCCTCTGCAGGTAATTCATGGCCCATTACCCTTCCAAGTTCTTTACTGAAAAGAACATTTATAGAACATAAGTCCCATATGGAACCAAATTCTCCTGTACTAAAAATTTTACAGTTCCTTTTGTTTATAGGCATGAGCCAAAATCAAAACTGATTTCTTGTAATGGAAAAATATAGTGGTGTTCGATACCAGGCTTCATTGTGGATTTCATGCCTGATCTTCCCATTCTACTTTCATAGCTACTCTTCATTCTGCATATCTAATCAATCCCCAGCATGCTCTGCATATTTTCTTTCAGTAATAGGAAATAGCTGTACCTGTATGAGATATGAGAATTGCCTTGCTACTGATACATTACCCAACAGAGAAGTGTCCTTCCTCCTTGTAAGAAAGAAAAAACAGAATCACAGAAAGCAGAAAAAAATTATGGCAATCTGGTCTTCTATTAAGAATGGGGTAATCTGTAACCCATAGCAGCTGTGATTATTTTAGTGATGACTTCTCTCTTTCAAAATAAGTAGACCTGGCACTTTGAGGGCATTACCTGAAGACAGGCATCTATCAGGACTTTCTTTCCCAGTCATTCCTTTATCCCTTTTTATAAGATTGAGCAAAAAAGCATAATTTTTATATTAGCTGTGGGCTAGGCAGCATAATCTGCATCCAGAAGGACCACTGATGTGATCCTATAGAAACTTGTATACTCACCAGGTTGCCTTTTGCTAATCACTACGCATAATGATCACGTGCCTTTCAACCTGTGTAGCTCAGAAAAAGTTTAAACTATCTCATTTCATCTTTCAGGCTAGTGAATGAAAATGAGGTCAAGCAATGGAGGGATCAGGCAGAGAAGTTTCGGAAAGGTGAGTGCATCCTCTGTGTATGCATAGGCAGAAACTGATCTCCTCTGTGTATGCATAGGCAGAAACTGATCCAGATTCATTCACAGAGCAGCAAGCAGCAGAGCTGGGAACAACTTTTCCTTTTTCAGACATTTTGTGTCATAGTGGACAGTTTATGTGTTTCACAGGATGGGGGTTCCTTCAGTTCTCACATGAAGTGATTTTACAGTCTAACTGAAACTTAGGCATTGCTGTCTTGATCACTGCACCATAACCTACATATCCTCAGGGACTGTTCGTGAGCTTTATTTCATCAGTCCCACTTGTGTGTTCCCCCTAGACCATGCTGAGCTGATGAGCAGGCTAGAGAAGAAGGAGCGGGAATGTGAAACAAAGACTCGGGAGAAGGATGAAATGATGAAGACACTGAACAAAATGAAGGACAAACTGCAAAAAGAATCCTTGGAGCTGCGCCAGACCCGAGACCAGATGAATGATCTAGTGGCTCAACTTAATGAGTTCTCGGTATGAGACTGGGACCCTTCCCCATTCTTGTTTAAAGGCTGCTAACTGGTGAATGATGAACAAAAGCATATTATGCATGAAGCTGTGGTCATAATAGAGAATACTTAGAAACTGCTCAGCTTTTAGCTGAGACCAAAATCTCTTAGCTGGTGATATAGAATGGTTAATGCATGGACACTGCTCCATTCCTTCTCAGGCACCTTCCTTGCAGGAGCTGCTGAGGCATAGTGTCCTCCTCCAGCCATAATTTTCACTGATGAGTGGCGTGGCCCTGGTTGTTATTTCAGTGGAATAAAGAGAAACCTCCCTGATACAAAAGTATATAAGAAAGAGGATTCCTATCATGCTGCAAGATGCAAGAGCATCTGAGCTGCTTCAGAATTCTTCTGTAAAAGTGACATTTGCAGATGATCCCTCTTGTTTGGTGCTCCTTCTATCCCAGCAGTGTGCCTGAGCCACCAGAACTCACCAGAACACAGCCCTGAGAAGTTAGACACTGCAGAAAGCAGATTTATTCCCTCCTCCCCTCTCCCATTTTGTGTTAGTGAGGCCTAATGACAGGTATTCAGTGTTTCAAATACTTAGCTTTTAAACCCAGGAGTTCAAAAGTTCGTAAGATTGAACTTTTCTCTTTTTTCTTACATAAGGAGAAAATAATACATTTTGGCTTCTTTTACTAGGTTGCTGTTTTTCTGAACCATTTATGGTTCCTTTTTTCAAGCTCTTCTCCACAACTCCATGGGCTTGAAACTTTCTCTTAAATGAAATCTAAGATTCCTCCCTTTATTGCATGGCTTTGAGTGCAGGAGGCTCTAAAGAAAACATCAAATATTTTGAGAGTCGTAATAAAATCACATCAACTGGCAACATGGAGTTATTGTGCCTTTTAAACTGCTTGCTTTCTTTTTCTCTGTGTTTTTTATTTTCCAGCAAGGGGGAAGCATTTCCTTCCCACCCCCACCACCCCCTCCTCCAGGTGGCCCATTAGCTTTGTCCTCTTCTCACATGTCTGATAATTTGCCATCGCTGCCACCTCCTCTCCCTTTCTCCAGCTGTCCCCCTCCTCCCGCTCCACCACCTCCACCAGGAGGACCTCCTCCTCCACCAGGAGCACCACCTGTCTTCAGCATGGGGATGGCACCCCCTTCAACAACCACCTTCAGCACCAGTGGCCCTAGTCTGAAGAAGAAAACTATCCCCCAGCCTTCACATCCACTGAAATCCTTCAACTGGGCTAAGTTGAGTGAGGTAAGAAACTGCATTACTCAATTGATTTACTTTCTGAGTATACCCCAGTGTTGACTAATGCCATGAAATGAAAAGTGGAATAGAAGCATGTAGCTTTCTGTGGACTGTGGTCAGTAGGAGTCATTAATTGTATTGAGGGAATCTCCCCAGTTCTCCAGCAGTGCAGCACACCCCCTGTGATGAGCAAGGTGCTGGATAGATTAAGCTGCTTAGATCTGGGCATGCAAATGATCTGGTTAAGCAAAGCTGTAGTGGGGCCAAACACATAAGTGATATCTGGACATCTCCAGACTGGTGTGCCAGTTCTCATTTGTGCACCAGGGAAAAAGGATGTCCAGAGCCACTGTGGGCAAAACATGGTGAGAACCATCTGGAAAACCAGCCACCCCTATTCTGACAGGAGCCATCACTAAGGAGAGAAAGGTGTTCTGATTCTCCCCACTGTTTGTTCATGGTCATGAGGGAAGCCACCTTTCTCCTTGAATGGTTAGAACTCTGTTGGTGATAAAACCCCAGACTGGCAAAAAAAACCCCCAGGGGACTTGGATTCTTCCTGTTGCACTCATTTTCTTCTACCTTGGTTGTGTCTCCTTCCCCTTCACTTCTCTATGGTCCTTCTCTCTCTTTTTCCCTTCTTCTTTTCCCTCCCCTTCTCTTTAAGTCTTAATTTTTTAAACTGATTTAGGGGGGAAAAAAAGGTGTCTGTGTTGAGTTTGGATTGCTGCCCAGAAACCCAGGTTCTCTTTTAGACTGAAACTCACCCAGGGCCCAACTCCAGCATTTGGAATGAGTGTCCAGAGACCTCTGGAATGCCAAAAGAACTTTCTCTCCCCCTCTCTCCTTTTCTTTAAAATAAAGTGAAGTGAAATGTTTGCTGCACCATCTGTGCTTGTCTGTCAAGGCCACATGGGGGATGTTGAAGAGAATGTAAGGACAAGGATTTATTTTCCTTTGCAGAACATGGAACTTAGTGCACTGAAGAAAAGAAATAATAACTAATATATGTATATATATGAATTTATATGAAAAAGAGAGAGTTACAGGTGTTTCTGCTTAGTGTACAGTAACTGTAGACTTCTGCCCTCTGGATAAGAGTAAAGGCAGCTGTGCTAATAAAATTGAAGACCTGGGTGGTGGGATGAGGAGGTCAAAATAGTTAGGAAAAGGGGCATAAGAGAGCAGGGCTTTCATTTTGGGGTGTCTGCCAGTGTTAGTATTTTGAACCTGATATGGTTCTGCAAAATGGCAGAGGTTGTGGTGCCAATACAGGTGGCTCATGTTGTAACTTGGGTTGCACTTTGTTATGGAATTATTTATTTGACTGACTGCTGGAGAAGCTGATATGCTTTGGTCATCTTTCTCAGGTATCCTAGATTTCCTGCTTCAATATCTTTCTATTCACATGGACATGAATCCTCTGAGCACAAAGTCTTGAGTAGGTTTGGATGGGCCTTGTCATGCCTTTTGTTACTTTTGCTGCACTTCTTTGGTGTTCTCCTGAACTGAGCTGTCAGAGTAGCCAGACTGGAATGAGTGAGAATTCAAAATAAACACACTCTCTGGGAGCAGTACATCTCAAGTTTTTGAGCCTGGGAAACTGAGGCTTGGAAGTGTGCACAGTATTTTTGTGGTCTGTGGTAGGGTTTAACTTCCAGTTCACAAGAATACAACCTTCCCCCCAAAAAAACATTTTGAGGAACAATACGCAAAACACAGCAAGGTGACGGAACACAGTGTTGGAAACAGCTGTACATAAAGTTAGGGCTGCAAGTAGGTCAAATATTCAGCTCTTCGGTATCTCTGCATAGTGTTTAGACCACCTTTCTCTAAACAATTAGTAAAGAGTCTCTCTCAGGAGATTTTTCAGGTAAGTATGAAGCTGAGGCCAGGACTGAGACAACCTGCATGAGAGGAAACTCCTCTCTGTCCATGCGGCCTGCCTCAGGATGTGAGGGAAAGCCAACAGAGGCCAACAGGAGCATGGACAGGGATGGCTGAGAGGGATTTGTCAGATTCTCAGTAGTGGAATCAAGGCTATTCTCCAGAACATGAATATGACACCTTTTTTTTCCAGTGCTGATTTTGTATTTGGAAGGAAAGAACTGAGCTGTTGGGTGTTAGGAGAAATATCAAATATAGTCAAGCTCTTAGCAGTTAACAATCACAGACTGTCCACAGTTCCCATGGGCACCTCAAAAAAAGGTTTGACTGGAAAGGATTTGTGCTTCTATCAAGGAAACTCCAACAGCCAACTAATTTCATTGAGAATTAAGAACTTTATGCTAACTTTGATGTGAGTTAATGACTACTGGCAAAGACATTTAGATGCCTGGATGGGCTGAGTTGTGATGAAGCCCTTCCACACTACAGCTCCATTCATACAGCACTGTAGCATTGTCTGTGAATTCCATTCATACAGCACTACAGTAGTGCTGGTGCCGAGGATCTCTGTTTTTTAAGAAAAAGATACTGCAATATAACCACTGTAATATCTGGAAAGATTCCTTTCTTTGTTTTTGGGCAGCAGTGCTCTCTCACTCTGAGTTTTACACAGCACCAAAGGTCAAACTTCTGTGGTTAATCCAAGCAATGGACTGGTTTCAAGAACAGTGGAAGTATGGATTAAATAGTTACCTATTTAATAAATATAAACGTATTGATTTGAAGTTCTCAGAATAAATCAAGTCAACCTTCAACTACTCTGCTTCCTTACCTCATGGCTGAGAAGCAGTTTCCCATCAAGTGTCCTGGTAATGGCTCTCGTCAGTGATGTCAGAGAGACTTTCTTTAGTCAACCCTAAATAGTCTTGACTGAAATAGTTTCATAAGAAAGGTATTTCTTCTACATACCATATTGGTGTTTTTTAAAAACCCAAACCACACATACTTACACACACATAAAAACAAATCAAAACCACCAAACCTAAACCCCCAAAACAACCAGTCACATAAACAGAAAATGTTAATTTTGACACTAATTTCTATAATGTTATCAATGATTCTGACTTCTGGAACTTCCTCCCTGAAGGAGACTGAGGTTTATGAAAATTATGAAGGACTGCTGCTGGAGATTCAAAGTTCTCCAAGAGTTCTCCAAAATCTCATTGTGAAGCTACTCATGATAGCTATGGTGGTGCCTAGGCCTACAATGAGATAAAACAGCTGTCTTGATTAAAAAAAGGGCAAAAAATACAGCTTTTGCTTGAAGTGGATTTTTCTCACACTGCAGAAAGGATCTAATATCAAGAGCAAAGTTTGGAAAATGTCCTTTGTTCATGTCACTTTTCAGATTCATAATGGAATTCTGAATTAAATTTTTAAGTTGCTTCCACTTTTCTGGTTAATATCCTACACATATTAAGCTACTAATAAGCAGGATTGCCTGCTCCAGTATTCACAGAACACTCATAGTTTCCATGGTTTCTCTGAACCTGCAGGTCAAACAGAAATACTGTAGGTTGTCATTCATGCTGTGAGTTTACTGAGGCATGATGGGCTTTGATGCCTTCCAGAATATCATTATTTATCTATCAGGGTAAATAAAATCATCCTTTAGATGTAGCAGAGGACAGCTTGATATGATTTTAGTGCCACAAAACACTGTCATTTTCTAATGTCATTAGGTCTCTCAGCAAATTGGGATTCCACCTATAAAGGTGGAATGATGCAACTGCTACAGTGCATGAAATGTTAAATGCAACATACCAAAAACTAAGCTTGATGGAGCAAATGCCTTGTCAATACTTGTTCTCATAATAAGATGTTTCCTAACCTAGTATGTGTCACCATTTCATTAGAGGATGCTGGGAAGTACAGTTCACAAGGCTTGCTTCTCTAAGTGGGCCAAGACTTTCCAAAGCACAGGAATCGTGGATCTTGGAAGACTTGTAGAATGAATAAATGAATGAATAAACAAATAAATTAAGATAGGGAGAAAAACATTACAGATAAAATGACTGCTCTTTTTTTTTAGTCTCCTTTTTTTTTTCTTTCTAAAGGCAGAGAAGAAAAAAAATGAAAAGAAGGAATGAAGAATTTATTTTAAATTGTTATTTAGGGACCATAAATATTTTTATGATTCTGAGAGAATCATTTATCACAGCAACCACATTATGCAAGTCTGTTTCTCTTATAATGCTTTGTCTTATCTGGCTGATGACAAGGAACTATCAGCCAGTTAATTCCTAACTGTGTAAACTGTGTATCAAGAGTTCAGTCTAGGAAGTTATCTGGCAGCAACATGAAAATTTTCAAGGACAGAGTTTATACTAGAAATAGAAGGGTCAGTCCCATTGTAAGTGTTAGGTGTAACAAAGATTGTTTATACCTCTGCCTGCCTCAATTTTTCTTTGACTGCATTAACCCTAAAATTGGATCAAAGTTTGTCAAAGTTCTGTTTGTGCACACCATTACAATGGGTGCTGCTTTGGAATTTGTCTTTCTGCTATAACTGGCATACAATCCATCCTGTACAGGACCAGATTCAACCTGGCTCTTAAAATTAATCTGAATTGAAGTTGGAATAATTTTCACTGGGTTGTTTTCCTGGGAAAGTAGGGGGAGAACTACTCTCTGCAGTCCTTTTCTGAGTCCCAGAACTTCCTGTTTTGGCACCTTTGCAGTTCATTCGGACTAGACTGTTCTGTAGGGTATTTTTTCTGTGAGGAAACCTGACTCCCATGAGATTTTTGCAGCTGGACAGGTAGATGGGCAAGACTCATGAATAGCTGTCTTCAGTCACATCCAGCCTCTGCCAAACATAACATACAGCTTTTTGACATCCTTAGGGTTCTATCCCAGTGATGACTTTAAGGACTCCTGTCAATAAATATTCTGCCATGTCAGTGTTTGATTAGACAGTCTGAAACAGTGAGGCACTCAGAGAACTGCTCAGCTGTTCAAATATATCCCTCAGGATTTATAATTCATGTTTTACAAAGCTAGCCTGGAAATTGAATGAGAATGATCACTCTGCCTGGCTGCTTCTGGCTAAGATTGGCAGTGGAATTCAGAGCTAGGATAAAAAGAAAATTAATTTTGTCTCCTATTGCTTTGTCTGAGATGAGCCTCCCAGACTTGTTTGCCATGTTACAATCACAAGGTCTTCCTATATGGAAAGAAGAGCCACAGTGATTGCAAGGTTCTTCACCATTGTAGATTCACCAATTGTATATTCACCAATATACAATGATATTGGTGAGCTCGCTCAGGATGGGTGCTGCTCCCATCTAGGACAGGGCCTTGGAAAGATCGGGCAAGGAGACCAGCTGCTTTTTAATGCCTTTTATTGAGGTCAGCTCTAGGTGAGGAGGCTCAAGGGGCTGCACACACCACTGCTGCTCCCAGTGGTCAACACGGAGGAAGAGATGATCAACTCTGCCGCATGGCAGAGCTGGAGCTTCTGTCCTCACAAGAGTCCCTGGGAAAACACTGGCTCATTGAAAACCTGGGGTAGTCATGCATAGCAAGTGTTGTGTAGTTATGGCGACAAGGTCCAGAACATCAGTAAGTTGCTCAATGTGTAGTTTGGAGTCAGGTTTGTGCCATGGCTCACAGTTCTAGGGGTTTAGATGTTAATTCCACCTCCCCTGGCTGCTAACCCCCATGGGAGTTCAGCTCATCTACATACTGGGTGATGTCATCTATTGCCATTAGGGGGTGCAGGGAGCAGCAGAGCCAATATACAAGGCAAGGTGGCCATTAACAAGGCTATCACAACAACATTGGTGTTTACCAAACATGACACAACATGAGGTATGTAACAAAGAAGGCACCTTATGGTGACAACATTCTACTATTCAAACTATAAATATCTTTGTATACTGATCAGGAGGTCACATTTTACACTTTACAGCTCTCACTCTGAATAGCACTGCAGACACCCCTCCTTACCTTCAGGCACTCACAGGCTGCCTCTGGAGAAAGGGTATTGGTTTTCCTTCAGTGTCTGCCCTGCCAGGAATTTCCTCCAGAACACTTCACACTTTTATTTCCCCCTCATTTTATCCTCCTCAGTTTTTTTTCCTTGCTCCTTGAGTCTTGTGGCTTAGCACATTTCCCTCATTCTTTTTGATGACTCTGAATGGGAAGTAGAGCCTGTTCCTAATTAGTTCTGATAATGAAGTGTTAACACACTTTGCCATGTAGGTTCAAGTCAGATACTTTAGAGCTGAAACCTGTGTGAGGGTTTCATTGCTATTGCTTGCGGTTCCTGGCTTTTTCTGCATCACTGTTCTGTTTGCACTTCATCTCCTGGGATTTGCTTAGGTCATTTTTACAATTCCTTTTGTCTATTTCTTTTTTCTTTTAATCAGCATTTTCATTATTTTTGCAGTCAATAAAGTACAATAAGTATACACTTCCTAAACTAAACGAACTGAAGAATAGTGCTGTCAGTTGTATGAAGAGCACCCAAAGCTTGTCTCAAACAACATGCACCTTAAGAGTCAGTCAGAAAGAGAAGATAGTTTGATCTTTGTATCCTCTGGCAGTAAGGACATCTGTCCTGAGAATGTCAGCAGGAGACCCAGAACCTTCACTTAGTTTAGGATGACTGCTGATTACTTAATTCATGTACTACAGGAGCCTGCTTTTTCTGGGTTTGGTGGACAGCAAGTAGAAGTCTCTGCCTGTCTTCCTCCATGCTAATTACCTGCCAAACAGCTAGAATTCCTAGTATTCAGGATACTGTATCATCACAAGAATTGTGAACATTTCGAGTTACTGTGAATTAGGCTGTTTCAGGGATCTGGGTATTGTTTGTGTCTATCTGGCTCAACAAAGGCCTCACGTAGACAAAGGAGTTCATGTAATAGGAAACAATTAGACTTCAAAGACTCAAAAGCTTAAAAGTAAAATAAAATAATAACTTAAACTACTTTCACAGGCAGACATAATGAAAACTACACACAAGAGTGTGTAGGCTTTACAAAAGAACCTGAAAAAATTTGCAAAAATATATCTGGGGTTTGTCATGCATCTGTGCTTTTCCTAAGCTTTTTTTCTCCTGATGGTAACACTCCTTTCAGCGTGACCACAATCTTTGTGTTAGACAGATGGCCACTCTTGAATGTGGGATCATAGATAATACTTAAGATATGGTCTTCTAGTCCTGGAATGTGCCATTTCATTAGAGGCTTGCTGTGATGAAAAATACAAAATGGTATGTTTAAAAACAAACAAACACACAAAAAACCCCCAAAAACCCCAACCCCAACCCCAAACCCAAGAAACAAAACAAAACAACAAAAAAAACCCAAGAAAATAACCCGAAGTAAAAATCAAAACAAAACACTATTTTTTCTCCTTTGACTATTGAAACAAAGTGTATCCACTAAAATGACAGCAGTAGTCCATTGCAGTTTGACCAGTGAGCAGAAGACAATGATCTATCCAAATGGGATTGGATGTTCTTAACTAAATACTTTTGCTATCTTGTTAAAATATGTCCTTTCCCTTTAGGAGAGGATCCCTGGCACAATCTGGAATGAGATTGATGATTTAAAGGCATTCAAGGTGCTGGATCTAGAAGATTTTGAAAAGATGTTCTCTGCGTATCAGAGGCACCAGGTAGGAGTAAGCTTTTCTATACCTTTTCTGTCTTGAATTTCTGGAGGAGAAAAAAATACATGACAGTGGTCTGAGTCCTTGCCCACCTGCAGTCAGGCTGCATCACTTGATACTCTGCCACTGTGCAAAAAATCTGAAGACCAAAAGAAGCTGGGATGGATACATGGGTCAGGATCTAAACTTCTGATATGGACATACTTCATATTCATGGGCAGCTCTAAGAGACAGCACCTACCAACAGACAGTGCTCTAGTTAATGTCAGTGGCCACTGACTTCCAAAAGTTCTGGTGCTTTACATTTATATTTGCATATCAAACTTTCTGTTTCTCCCATTCATCCAGAGAAAAAAGGCTGTAGGTCCCTGAATACTGTGACTGTGACAAGGTGACTCTATTAGCTCTCTTTCATTTTGTCTGTTTTTTCTTAAACATCCAGCTGCCTGAACTGACAAGGTGACAGAAGCTGTCTGAATTACAGATTATAGAGCAAACAGCATACTTTAAAAGTGGTCATTTATTAGAATGTCCTTTTTCCCTCCTCGTTTTCTTGGAAAGCAAGTCCCTTTAAATCTATGTATCTCCACTGAAAGAGATTTGTACTTTCGGACAAATTGTACTTTCACTCCTTTAACTCCCCCGGCTTTCCTTTGCTTTTGGAATATTTTCAATGTTTTGTATGCTGCAGAACTGGATCATTAGTCTGAATTTTTGGGAAAAGACACAGACGTAACTGCCATAAAAAACCTTTATGGTTATTCCTTACAGTGATGATAACTACTTCATTAACTGACTAGTATCTTAAAATTAACAATCAAACCCCTTGTCTTTGGATTTTCCATCTGCTCCCTTCTCTCTTTTATCTTTCTATCTAATCCAATAAACATGATGAATAACTTTTCTTATTTAATAGCTCACAGCCACATGGATAAGCTGTGAAGAATGTGATGTTAACTGTTGCATGCATTATAAGATTTCATTTCTCATTCTTTCTCTGCAAGTAGCCAGTGCTGTTTAAGCAGGTCCCTCTCTCTTTCTGTAAATCATATATTCCTTGAAACAAGATCCTTGTTCACAGAGGGGAAGAAAGGCATCCAAAACTTCAGTGCTGTTAAGAGATGGGATTTAGACCCTGTCCCAAGAGCTTCTGTTCCAATGTTTCAGGTGCAAACATTGCACCTTGAACATTGCACAAAGAAATGTCCTTGCAAAGCCTTGCTTCCTTTTGTGCCCAAAATCCAAAGCCAAAGCTGTCCTGGTCTCAGTTAGAATCATAATATTATGGCTGCATTACCAATCACTGGAAAGCAGCCTGAGCTATTCAGCCATAAACTAACCTGGCCCTTACCCCTTGTCCGTGGGTCTCTGAACAGTACTCTTCCATCCTCATTAAACACACTTTATGACAGTAGCTCCAGACACTAGAGTAACACTTATGTAAGCTACTTTTATTTTTGTGCAGTTAGACATCTTGCTCTCCTTACAGCTTTTGTTGAGGTTTTTACATTATTTTTTTTTTCCTCCTTAAATATTTTGTTGTTATTACTTTATGTGATATTTTCTTTTTCATCCATACTTGCTCCAGTGTGAACTAGAATCCAATCAACAAGTCCTCATCAATTTTCATTTTTTTGTTTAAAGACCAGAACATAAAAATTATTTTTGAATTAAAAATTTATGAGAATTTTTTCAGTTCACACTTAGTCTTTTTTCCTCTTTTGCTTTCAGAAATATTCCACTCTGACCAAGTATGTGTTTCCTCTGGGTTTGTGACTTTTAAACTTCATCCAAATATCTGTTAAGAAAAATGTCAATTCAAAGCCCTGCGCTTTGCATCTGAAATGTTGAATAAGTAGGGATAACGACATTTCTTTCTTTGCTGTTATTAACTTGATCTTCATGTTTTTTCCAGTTTCATTTACATTAAACAATTTTTCTATTTTCCTAATATTGTTAATGACAGAAAGTGTCTTCTCCTCTCTCAAGCGCAGTGGTGTCTATGAGGGAAAGCAAAATTGTCCAGTGTACAGAATGCTGGACCAAGTATTCTTACACTTGTCTTTTGACCTTGCGCAAATCTTACTGTGTAATATTAAACTTTTGATTCAGTATAGCTGGTGTTTTCCTGCAGTACTGAGTATGTCATGAAATAGTTGAAGTCTGTCTTCCAGAAGTGCTGTAAGGCCTCTTTGGCAGTTTCTGAGTGCTTTCAAAATACTTGGCTGCAAGTTGTTAAAGGGTATAACATGCCATTGAAACAAGTTGTTGCTTGCTATACTAGTTAATACCCACAAACTGTGCCTGTGCATCAGGAAAGGAGATCTGACCCTCAAGTTATAACCTTGGCAGTTCTTTCAGTAAGGCTCTGAACTGGATTTGTAAAGATATTTAAGCATTATCCTAGTTAATATTTAACTAAAATATTTATGCTTTGGAGACCAAACTTATTATTTTCATAAAAGACCTAGGAATCTTAGTTCCATGATATCTGCTGATATCATGCAAATATGCAAAGAAATGCTGAAATACCTTGAACCATCTGAGCCAGTATTACTTGCACAGAATTATATGCTCTTAGAAAACAGTGTGTGTCTAAATTCAGCTGCCTTGTTAAACTTGGTATCTTTCTCTCTGCTAATTTTTGGCATGTTTCCTTCTTCGTTTTTTGCGACTGCTGCCTGCATAGGACCTGCTAACTAACCCCTCCTCCTCTAAGCAAGTGAGTATCATTGTCTGCTTCCTGATCCTTTTGCGATGTGTATGAAGGTGAAGTCCTGGACCATGCCATTATGGGTTACAGCTCATGCTATTGTTTCATATGCCCTTGCACTCTGCTTTCTTGATGGGGAAGGTGGTACAAGTCATTCTTTTAGTTGCATTATCTCTGTGATAGGAAGTAGTTCTTGTTCTTTCACTTGCTTATATCTCATTGCTGGGGTTGTAGTCCCTTTTTCCTATGATCTTGAGGAAAAAAGACCAGGGACAAAGAAGAATGCCAGTGTGAACTCTTCCTTAACCAAAGTAATACTCTCTTGAGAGAAAAACAAAAGCAGCTCTCAGGGAGCCCTCTCTCCCACTGTTCCAAATTGTTTTCTGTCTGCTTTGGACAGTACTGAAGTCTTCAGATGCACTTAGTAGACACAGACTTTCTGCTAAAGGAGATATTTCTTTGCATAGAACTGGGCACTTTGGCAGAAGGATTTGTGCCATCTGAGGAGCAGAAGAGTTCAAATGGACAGATGAAACCCTCAGAAAGTTCAGCAAAGGATTAAAATGGTGTTTAGATAGAGATACTGGATTATGCTTGTGTCTTTAAACTGGCTACATCTCAAAAATTCTTGGCAACAATTTTGGTAAGAGCAATGCTATTAGGAAAGGAATGTTCGGATATGATCGTAAGTGTCTCTGGTGGTTTCAGAAGAAAGTAGTTCTCACCATGAGTGCTTAGGGAACTGTGTTTGGAAAGTCTAGTCACAACTTTTGCCACACAGGGGAGGCTAACATGGCAGCATATCAAAGCAAGTCAATATGGTAGACATAGTTCTCTGAATTATTGATAATTGTCAGAAGATAGGGTGCTGTCATGGTATGAGTCTTCAGGTAACAAAAATCAAATTGTATTTGAAGCAAGGGACCAATGTGATGAACACATTCCACATGTACAGTCATTTCAGCACTGAAATTTTAGCTGAGTTTTGAATTTGCAACTAAAATATCAAATCTAAAATACTCTTTGAAGCACATAACATAGAGTAATCCCAGATGAAAAGTCAGTAAAAGATGATGTCATAAATCTCAGTCATCTTGTCTGTCAGGTTGACACCAGCCCAACTGTTCTTGCGTTCAGGGTTTGGGCTCTCACAAAAGCTAGTCACCACTGCCCCCTTGCTCCTCTTTTTCTGTGTCTGAGAAAATATGGATAGTCCATATGCAATCTGTTTTCCTTAGATAAGCTTGGAAACTGGCTTTGGTAAAACCTGAGGCTTCTCAGATTTTCAGATCTGGGCCATGTCTGAATAGTTCGAGTTATTCATCTGTGTTTAACCCTGTGGGTTGGGGAATTGGAAATGGCATGGGAACTATTATATCAATTCCTGCTGGATTTAAGGAAAGCTGGCTAAACCCCCACATCACATACATAGCCAAAGGCTGAAACCCTTTTTTTCTTTGAATGGGTGCTGGTTGTCACTATCCAGGTGTCCTTGCCTGCAAATATTAGTAAGGAACAGTGAAACTTTTAAACCAAGAGCATAGACCAGCAAGTAGCTTTCTTCCTTTCAACAGTTGCCCATCTCCATATTCCCCTGTCTTTCCTTCCCACAAACTGAGAAAACTTAGGAAAACTCTGAAATCTCTACATGGCAATTTATACTGGAGGCATTCCTCTTGTTCGTATTGTTAGTTATTCTCTCAGAAATAATAAACTTACCCAATTCCAATTTTGCCTTTTTTGTAAACACTACTTGATATATTGAGTAACATTTCAATTTTCTTTCTGCCAAGCTAGATGCTTTGGGCACATCTAGAAGAATTTACTGAGTGCATGTCTTCAGCTGGTGCATTGTACCTGCTTAAAAACGTCACTTTCTATTAGTGGTGGCTCACTGCAGCAATTTTGGATGTGCCTGCATGAGTCCTTTGCATACCTAGGAGCAACAGAGATTTGTGGTAACTGACTGTAACAGTAACTGAAATGACAGCTAGCAGTATGAACCTATGATTTACACTGAACTCTCAAATGCTTGGATATCAAAATTTCTTTGGAGATTAATCATGCTGATGTAAGTAATCCTTGAGCTGCAGAATCTTGAGTTCTGAGAGTGAAGTCTGGGAAGCACCCATTCTGTGTGTTTGCCATGATTTGACACATTTCCCTAAGTATTTGCTATTGACTACTCCCAGGAACAGGACGCTGGGGTAGATGGACCTTTTGATCTGACTCAGCATGCTTGCTGCTATATGCTAAAAAAGAAGTCATATTGCTTATTTGATGGGTGCATTCAAAGCTATATTATACTGATAAATCTCAAAATGTCAAGGCTTGAAAATATGGATGTCATGAAAAGACATTTTTTTTTAATGGTTCCGGCAGCAGTTAGCTGGGAAAATAAAAACTGGATGGTCAGACTGCATTTGCAAATATTTTATCTCTGTGTGCTATGACAAATGTTCTAGACTGGATTTTTAAGTTTTTTCAGGTAATGAGTATGGAAATGGCAGTATGCAGACAACTTTGGAAAAGGATGATTTCTGTATAATTAAATGCATTAATTAGTTTTTAAAATACAACATTGTTTAAATGTAGATTTTTACCATTTAGTAAGATATATTTAGTAAACAAATGTCATCATGCCCTACTGTTTGCATCTCTCATATAATACGAATTGGTCAGGTCCAATGGCAGCCATAAGACATAACAGAAGGGGTTTTTTTGCTTGTTTGGCAGCCTTTCAAGAATGCTGTGTAATCCCTGGAGGAGGCATCTGCTGAAGATGCTGTGATACCAGTGTGCTTCATCATAATGTGCCTGATTCTCCTATCATGCCTGTTTTTCACATTGACATAATGTAATTGTTGGTAGAATGAGTCCAATAGGTCAGAATTAGGTCCAGTATATGGTATCAAAGATAAGCTTATAGGTATTAATGAATGATTTCTGTTTGTCTAGTAACAAAGGATCTACCCCCATGTTTTTTTCTGCCTTTGTCTCCTTTTCTTATCATTTGGGTGGATCTTTCAAGGTTGGGATGGATGTGTTCATTACACTGAGCTAAGTCTATCAGTCTTGAATGAGAAACATAATACTGATTGTTTTCCCTCCCTTTTGAAATACATGCAGAAAGAGATGGGTTCAACAGAAGACCTTTACCTCTCCACAAGAAAGGTGAAAGAGCTATCTGTGATTGATGGCCGGAGGGCCCAGAACTGTGTCATTCTCCTTTCCAAGTAAGTGTGCTAAGCCATAGCTCACAGGGTGTGCCATGCTCAATGCAGAAGCAAGAGGGGATGAAATGAAACAAATGTGTTTATTTTCCCAGCTAGACCTGCTGTTTAATACCTGCAGAGCCTCAACTAAACCTCTCTTATTGCGTCATAAAAAGCACATTTCTCATAACATGTTATTTCAATTAATAAAAATATCCACTCACAGATTTTGTGTGTCAAACAGGTGGGCATCAGCTTCTATCTGAAGACTCATCATCAGAAAGTGATCACTACTCATTGGTAGATGAAAGCAGATCATTGTCAGTGTTTGCATTTCACTCGAAGTAATGTGTTCCCCACGTTCTGTGTCTGTCATTTGTCTCTGTTCTGTGTGCTTCTTTCTAAATATTGTTCTGCCCATCTCCCTGGAATACAGCAGAGCTGAGTGTGATGTTCATTTTTTTGACTCATGGTGAGAACAGTGGTAAACATAGGCATTCATATTCAAGACTCTGAGATGAGCTCAGCTTCTTTAGAGCATGGTATTAATTATATCAAGGTTGTGGTTTAAATCCCTGTATGGGACACTTAATAAAGAGTTTGGCTCAGTGATCCTTGTTAGTCCCTTCCAGATCAGAATATTCCATGAAGAACTAAGTCTTCTATTTGTAAATTAGGTTTTTGAAAGCAAGAGTTGCCTTTGTGTATTTCTGCAATGGCTAATACATTCAAAAGCAGTGACATCAGGGCCCTCTATATTTTTTCATGTCTTTCTACCAGCATGAGTTCTAGGTTTGAGGTCTGTCCCTTTCAAATTTGTACAGACACTGATCAAATTGTGAAAGTTGCTTTTCATAACAGAGGAGGGACAGCAAGACTGGAGACAAAACCTGGTTAAGCTGTGGCAGTACTGAGCAGCAAAACTGTTTCATTGGGCAGTAGAAAATACATGTTCATATGGATGTGATGCTTGTCTGCTCTAGCAAGCTAACAGTGAAAACAAGGTTGCAGCCAGACCACCAGGACTGGAGCAAGTTCTTTCCCTTGCTTAGTGAAACCTGTGGAAGCTTTCATTATGCTACTTATGTGGCATTAGCCTGCATATCAGCAGGACCCCACCACCCAAACCTTCAGTGAGGAAAGGCTTACATTTCTCTCTCTGCAGTAGTTGCTGCCAACACATATTTGCTGGTGTTGGCAGCTGATTGTGACTGGAGCAGAAGGATGGGGAGGCATAAGGGCAACAGGATTTTCATGCTGTTTGATGGACCTACTGAATTGTGTCTGGGGTTCAGATTACCTGTAAGCAGGTGGAAAATTTCCTAGAAGTGGTAACATCATGTGTTCGGTTCAGTTGGCTGGGCTGAGGAGGATCCAGGAAGGTGGTCCATGACTTGGTATGGCACTAGATACTTATTTCTAAAAATCTTCTGTCTCCAAAACAAAAGCAATGTGGGCAATAGCAATGCATGTTTTTCAACATTCATCTTCTCTGCTATGCAAGTGTGGACAATCTTAGCTGAGAAGAATTCTCTCTATACAGGTAACCCTCTCTATACAGTGTCTTGGTTTGGAAGACAAGTGTCTGGTAGGGAGGGCAGGTGCTTCCCTTGGAATGAAAATGTAGACCCCCCCTCCCTCTGAATTACTATAATTTTGAAATCAAGGGGCTCTCAGGCAGAGATCTGGGGATAGGAATAACAGCTCTTTACTAGTATGTACAAGGCAAACAAACAACAATAACTACAGCATTAACAACAGAACAGAGCCAGGGACCCCATGACAGCCTCCTTGGCTGAGACGGGAAGGGATGGAGGAGAGGCTTTGCTTCACAAACCCCCTGGGGCAGTCAGTCCCAGTGCTCCTGCAGGACTCTGTGGAACACTTAGCTGGAACGGCAGGAATGAGCAGAGATCCCAGGCTGGTGGATGACGTATACCAGCAGCTCCGCAGCGGTGGCTGGCACTGGCATGTCCTGGCAGGACAAGGGGGTGCGAGGCCCACAAACGAAGAAGAAAGAAGGGGAAGAAGAAACAACAGCTCCATCTGGGTTATGGCAAATTCCCTTCTCCTAGCCACAACAACTCTGAGAGTGTGTCCTGCTCTCCAACCTAAGAAATCAGCCAACCCCCAGCTGCCCCTGCNAAAAGGGGGAATGTGTGGTAAGACCCCACAAAGTAGAGTAGCCAAAGCCATCTATACCTTGAAGCATTTAACTGTCCTAGAGAAATCCCAGAACCCAACAATCATGAATCATTTTCTATCCTTGCAGTCATCTGGTGATGCTCAATTACCTAGACCTAAAGTCATGGTAAAAAACATTATCACCAATAAGTGGGATGGGGTCCTCCATGGGAACTCATTACATGGGGACGTGGGTATACATGCATTTCTACAGACACCAGAACACTTTGGATACCTGCCAGGTGTGTCCGTCCTGCCCCACATCATGCTCAGGACCAGAGACAATATCCTCATGATGATCCTGCAGCAGATGTTGAGGAGCAATGACTTAAACAACTTGTACACCAGCCATACAGAGAACTGGAATTTCTTGAGATGACAAGTCTGTTTAAGGATTTTATCTATTTATGGACATGAGGGTTTTATACATATTTGAATGTGTGGACTTGACTTGAAAATTTTGAGACAGATTGTTTTCCTTGTAGTTTTTCCTACAGTTCTGAGAGTTGAAATGTTTCTTGTTTTAGAGTTAAGTGTAAATTTGTAGCCTTTAATCTATAAGCCTGCAGCATGCCAATTTGATAACTTGTATTGTTAGCAGTTCTGCCTGACAGGTCCTGAGAGTGAATGGTACGACTTTAAAGGTATATGGTGTACATCAGCAACTGAAAAGGGGCTGGGTCTGTAGAATTGAGTTGAAGGCCTCCTTCAAGCTTTTCAAGGCATAGCTTGAGGTTTTTACACAATGCCATGTCTGTCATCTTGTCTGCAAGGGCCCTGTAGAGGATGACAGACATTTCTTGTGTATTTAAAAACACAAAGGAGGAACTGTGGTGGCCTACAGCTGACCTGGAGGCCTTACAGTTATAAATAATCCCAACTTTGTAACTGGCATGTGATTGATTACATAATTACCTTGTTTATGTAACTCAACCAGTGATGCCTGTTGGAGAGCAGGCCCAGCCCGTTGGGGATTCAGGCTGCTATTGGCTGGCTGGCCGGGCTCAACCAATGAGGATTAACCGTACATGCCTTTCTATCTATGTAAGGAGTAGAGGTCTCAATAAAGTGGGCTGTTGTGCATGACCTTTGTGTGTGCTTGTCGCTGTCCTATCTCTGGCACATCACTGCGATGGAAAATTTTAGCACTGTGACCCTAGTGGGGTTGTACATCCAAAATGCAGGAGGAGAGCCATAAACCAACCAGCATAAAATAAACTTGCTGATTACATGTTTTCATACTGACATCCTGAGCTACTTTTGTTGTGTTTATCAAAACATTGTGGTCTTTTGGGTCTGCCTGATGGTGGGAATGAGAACAAGGAAGTGAGAGAAATATATATATGTATGGACTATAATAAAGCTTTGTTTTAAGCCCTCTATCTTTAAATCTCCTTACTGAAGTGCTTCCTTGGCTAGAAGAAGATAGGAATTGTTGCAAAATCTGTGCTCCTAATGTTCTAATAAATCTAGAGGAAGGGAATTTCTTTTATCTGAATATTTTCAAGCTGGAATGCAAACCCTTTTGCTTTATCTGGAGGGGACAGAGAGCTGGAACTAAGGTGGAATATTTTGCTATAATGACATTCAGTGAAGTTTATCAGAGGGGGTTGGAGTCTGGACTGAGGCTGATTCATTATTTTCAGATAGCAAAGTAAGACTCCCGTTGAAGTTGTATATTTTATGCTTTTAGAATTGCATTGGGGGTGATGTGTTTTGTGTCAAAGATTTTGAAAGCCTGGACACATTTACTGTGGAAAAAATGCCTTGTGCTGAAAACTAGGGATATGTTACTAAAAGAGTGAAAGAGGCTTAGAATTTTGACTCATATTTCAGTAGTTGAAGTTAAAGTCTATGTTCTACTATCCAAAAAGTGCTATCCATTTTTAACATGGTTATTCATTAGTTACTTGTGAGACCTCAGGTGACCAGCAGAATAGGAGGACATTGTTTTGCTATTTTCCAATAGGCTGACAGTGCCTTGGGTTGGGAATGCCTGCATAATGTTTGTGGATAGCTAATGCTAAACATCTCATATGGCTGTTGAGTAGCTCCTGAATGTTAGTGTGCTGGCATTATCTTAATTCCATGGGGTTGTCTCAGAAGTGACAGGCAGCTGAGAATTAAAGCTACAGCTAGTGAAGACAACCTACAAATAGAAGGAAGAAAATAATAGAAAATGTTTATTTGAAGCCAACTAAAAAGCATGCAGAACAATGACATATCCCAACAACTCTCCATCACAGGGGTGGGGAAAAGTCTGCTTTTTCCTATGTGTCTAGTATTAGTTGTCCCCTCCAGAGACAGTGCTGCTTATCTACTGTTGCTCTGTGATAACACTGGAAACCCACATCTAGGTCTTTGCTGGCAGTGGTGATGGGAGTGTAGAATGGAGGGAGCTGAAGGTTGTTGCAGAGCAGTCCATGATGCTCAACTATGCACTCTGGCACTGGCTGGTACAGCTCTGCTCAGAGCCAAGAGAAAGAAAACCTTTGACTTTGTGCACAGCTCTAGAGTGGCTTCTGTTTAGTGGTATCAGAAGCAGCGACAACTCTGCCCACAATCTCTTTCTAATTTGAGGCAAAGTGTTTGAGCTGTTACACAAAGAATGGAAAAGTACTCCCGGGTAAGGAAAATTTAAGAGAAAACATGGAAGTACAGATGAAACATAAAACTACTACTTACATATAGAATACATTTCTGTATCTGTAGTCAGGAGACTTTCAGAGTTAGGACTAAGGTTAAAAACTGGCCCCTCCTGAAGTTTGTATATTTCTTGGAATACATTCCCCAGGAGTCAGGAAATTATGATTTAGATGCTCTGGATGCTTTGGATTGACTTTGCTAAATTCATCTCAAAAAGGCTTTGTAGGAAATAAAATATTTTAGGAGGCTAAAAAAAATAATCTCAGATGCCCATCTGGCACAATTTCAATAAGGGTTGTTTCACCAGAAATTAACGGAGTCTGATTTCTGCTTGGAAAAGTTGATATTCTATGAGGTTATGTGTTTCCATCAGAATTAATACGAGTCTTTTGCATGAAGAGGAAACAATGTAGGGAGCATATGTTTTTAACTCATCTGGGGTATGAAAGGGTCTTATAAAGTCTCTGTAACCTAATTTGAATAGTATGTTCACCCTGAAATTACTGCCTGGATAAGATGAACAGATTTCTGAGTATGCCTTCCAAAGTCCTTCTGAAGAGAAGGATAAAATGCTTCTCTCTTTTTTTTTTTTTTTTTTTTTTTTTTTTTCTGATGACTTTGCCTACATAAACTACATAAATATGATTTTGGGGGGATTCCTTAGCAAAAAATGCTAGTCCAAAATAATTTGCTTTACACAATATAAACACCTGATAGGAAAGAGATTTCCTCTACAGAAACCTCAGCCTAAATATTTGCAGAACTGAGTACTAAGACATAAATTAATTTTCTTGGCTGAACTATTGGCTTATTGATCTGCTGGTATTACCTTCACACCAAGGTCCTTCCACAGCATGAGACTTGTGTGTACACCCACAGAGTACAACATGTTCCATCTAGAAAGCTGATCTTTCCTCTTACCTTTTGCTCTGTTTCTTGTGACAGGTGGTTTCCCCTTTTTTCAGTTATTTAGTAACTCAAGCTCAAATTTTGATCTCAGAGGTACTCCCTCCAACTTAGAGAAATGTTTTCTTTGGTCCGGAGCGGTTGGTTAGAAGTTGCAGAGAGAGCTCATTTTCAAGATATTCTAAATGTTGATTTCTCTCTATCAAATGAACAAGACAGAACTCCTTCTCTAGGTGAATCCAGACACAGCATTAAAGTGGGGTTTGGGGTTTTGTTTTGTTTTATTTTGTTTTCACTTGGACATCCCCTTTCACACAGAGGTTTCTGAGGTGCTATGAAAATCATTCCTTTAGAGAGCACTTCTACTATGAACAGCTTTCAGGGAAATGGATGACTTGGTGGTCACATGCTGGGATCTGATAATTGTGAGAGTGTTTACCATGTCATCACAATATTGCTATTTAAGTGGAGGTGAACTCTAACTGTACGAGTACTCTGGTAGATACAGGAAATGTGTCTCACAATATTGATATGGATATGAAATGTGCTGTGGGAATTAAGAAGAGTTAATGCTGCTATTAGTAGGCTGTGTAGGACATTATCTGCGATGAAGAGATATGGGGACAACTGAATGGTGATCAGAATCTGATTTTATTGTGGGCTATATAAGCTTATGTACCATTCTAGGAAGGCTAGTAATTTTTTACTACAGTGATTTGGTTAAACATCATGCAAGCATACAAACAAACGTATACATTTTTGCAATATCTCTTCTACTTGATTCAATCTTCTTGTAATCTTCGAAGCTCTGCTTGTTCTGGTCAAGGTATCTTGATTATCAAATCTCTTATGCTAATCAGGTCCAAAGTACTTTCTGACTTTACAA